TTATAACAAATGAATTCCAACGCCACAAATCGCAAGGGGTGTCCCCCCCAAGGTTTTGTAAGAACTCAGATCCCGAAATCACAGATCGCAAGGGGTGTCTCCCTAAGGTTTTGTGAAAACTCAGAACCGAAAACCACAGATCGCAAGTGGTGTCCCCCTAAAGGTTGTTATAACAAATAAGTTCCAAAATCACAAATCGCAAGGGGTGTCCTCCTAATCCCTGCGAGCAGAAAGCCTGTAAATACCGCGTTAAAACTACGGCCAGGGATCCCACACATCTGCGGGCAAAATCTGGCGGAAGTGATCCGCCACCGAGCCAAAAGCCTGTAAATACCGCATTAAACAAAGGGCCACGGATTTCGCACATCTGTTGGCAAATTCTGGCGGAAGTACCGACTGCTCACTTCCGCCAGATTTTGCCAACAGATGTGCGAAATCCCTGGCCCTTTGTTTAATGCGGTATTGACAGGCTTTTTGCTCGGTGGCGGATCACTTCCGCCAGATTTTGCCCGCAGATGTGTGGGATCCCTAGCCCTTGAAGTGGTGGGTGAGAGGGTGGTGGGAGGGTGTTTGGGAGGTAGGGTGGGCAGGAGGTGGAGGGAAGGTTGTGTAAGAACTCAGATCACAAAATCACAGATCGCAAGGGGTGTCCCCCTAAGGTCTTGTGAAAACTCAGATCAGAAAACCGAAGAGCGCAAGGGGTGTCCCCCTAATCCCTGCGAGCCGCGACCGAGCAGAAAGCCTGTAAATACCGCGTTAAAACAACGGCCAGGGATCCCACACATCTGCGGGCAAAATCTGGCGGAAGTGATCAGCCACCGAGCAAAAAGCCTGTAAATATCGCATTAAACAAAGGGCCAGGGATTTCGCACATCTGTTGGCAAATTTTGGCGGAAGTACCGACTGCTCACTTCCGCCAGATTTTGCCAACAGATGTGCGAAATCCCTGGCCCTGTCTTTAATGCGGTATTTACAGGCTTTTTGCTCGGTGGCGGATCACTTCCGCCAGATTTTGCCCGCAGATGTGTGGGATCCCTAGCCCTTGAAGTGGTGGGTGAGAGGGTTGTGGGAGGGTGTTTGGGAGGTAGGGTGGGCAGGAGGTGGAGGGAAGGTGTGTAAGAACTCAGATCCCAAAATCACAGATCGCAAGTCGTGGTGTTCCCCCTAAAGGTTGTTATAACAAATAAGTTCCAAAATCACAAATCGCAAGGGGTGTCCCCTAATCCCTGCGAGCCGCGACCGAGCAGAAAGCCTGTAAATACCGCGTTAAAACAACGGCCAGGGACCCCACACATCTGCGGGCAAAATCTGGCGGAAGTGATCCGCCACCGAGCAAAAAGCCTGTAAATACCGCATTAAACAAAGGGCCACGGATTTCGCACATCTGTTGGTTTACAGGCTTTTTGCTCGGTGGCGGATCACTTCCGCCAGATTTTGCCCGCAGATGTGTGGGATCCCTAGCCCTTGAAGTGGTGGGTGAGAGGGTGGTGGGAGGGTGTTTGGGAGGTAGGGTGGGCAGCAGGTGGAGGGAGTGTGAAGTGGGAGAAAGGGGGGGTGGGGGTTGGGACGCTGGGTGGGCGCTGAGGGTCGGTGGGTGGCAGGGATGGGTGAGGGAGGGTAGGTGGGGTTTTACTTCCCGGCCCCATTTAAGTAATTTAAATAATTTAAATCCTGGAAAAGGGCCGGGACCCCCGGAATTAATTAATTTAAATCCAGGGGGTTCCCCCATATTTAAATTATTTAACTCCCTGCCCCGGACCCCGCCCACACCCCCTCCCCCAGGATTTAAAATATTTAAATTATTTAAATTATTTAAATTATTTAATTCCCGGCCCCAATTAAATAATTTAAATAATTTAAATAATTTAAATAATTTAAATAATTTAAATAATTTAAATAATTTAAATCCTGGGGGAGGGTCCCGGGGCCCCGGAACCCCCCCCAGACCCCCTCCCCAGGATTTAAATTATTTAAATTATTTAAATTATTTAAATTATTTAATTCCCGGCCCCAATTAAATAATTTAAATAATTTAAATATGGGGGAGGCCCCCGGATTTAAATTATTTAAATTATTTAATTCCCGGCCCCAATTAAATAATTTAAATAATTTAAATCCTGGGGGAGGGTCCCGGGGCCCCGGAACCCCCCCCAGACCCCCTCCCCAGGATTTAAATTATCTAAATTATTTAAATTATTTAAATTATTTAAATTATTTAATTCCCGGCCCCAATTAAATAATTTAAATAATTTAAATCCTGCCTCGGAAACCTTATGGTGCAAAATTTTTGCTGTTTGGGAAATTTTAGGTTTTCAGGCCGAAATGGCGGAAATCATCTGTCGACTGCGTTTTTTGCAATTATGAGTCTTTAGGGGCGCATGTGCTCCGGCATCGTAGCATTTTTGGTGCAGGGAAGTGTTGTTTCTTGCTGTCGCTTTGGGCGTTTTTTGACAAGGTGAAAGTCATGCTTCAACTCTTTTTGGATGATGTAGTGGTTTACAGCTGCTTACAGGCTACACAAGGCCTTTCGAACGTCTGCAAAGATGCTTCTCAAGAACTCCCGAAAATAGATACAATCAGAATAACGCTCGATCTTTACAAGCAGATCAAGACACTTCGATGTCTATACGAGTCATAAACCCCAGCGAGATATATGTCAGTTTGACCTTTGAGGTAAGGTGCGCAAGTGACCCCATGTTTTGCAGCAGGACAAACAAACAGATGCTCAACCGGTTTCTAGACCGCTTCCATGCGCACGATATTGAGTGGTTCTTGGCCCCCAGTCAGTCGCAGAGTTGTCCTTTCGAAGGATTCAATTGATTGATTGCTCCCGTAAGCATCGGGCTGGGTTTTTTCCAGCTGTCGGAGATGGCGTTTTTTGCTTCAAAGGCCGAAAGCCGAAATGGCGGAAATTGGCGGCCAAAAGGCGGAAATCCCCGGCCAAAAGGCGGAAATTGCCGGAATCGTCTGGGCATGGCTCAGGCCGAGAGGGCGTTTTTCGCTTCGTAAAACCCGAACAGCGGAAACGCACAGCCAATAAACGAGATCTCCCGCCCAACAGGCGAAAGTTGGCGGCTCATCCGGCGCGAGATTGGTGTCCGGCCAAGGTGGATAGAGGAATCGTTATGCCCGACATGGAATGCTTCGCTTAGTAGAAAGATGGAAGCGGCTGGAACTCGCAGCCAAACAAGCATAGGCTCACAGCCAAAAGGCATAATTACTTCGGCGGAACCGTCCGAACAGGCTCGGCAAGAGATGGTGGAAATTAGCAGAGTCGGACCTCGCAATAATGTCGTTTCATGTGGCACAAACCCGACTCTGGTTGACTTGTAGAGCATGCTAGGACGATTTGTGGTGTTGATGCGCAGCTGACTGCTGCACAGTTCCTTCAGCTGCAGATGCCGACAATCATGGCGTTTTTTGTCTCACGCGAGAGCGTTTTTTTGTTACCGTAGAGGGCGTTTTCCTTTCTGAGCGCAAAATGCATCATGCAAGTTTTGAGCCTGTCACCGCGTTTTTCATCCGAGACTGCGTTTATTTATGACATTTCCCCGAATGCCTTTTATTTTGTGTCACCGGGTTTCGCAGGTGGGGGAGGGTCCCGGGGCCCCGGAACCCCCCCCAGAACCCCCTCCCCAGGATTTAAATTATTTAAATTATTTAAATTATTTAATTCCCGGCCCCAATTAAATAATTTAAATAATTTAAATATGGGGGAGGCCCCCGGATTTAAATTATTTAAATTATTTAATTCCCGGCCCCAATTAAATAATTTAAATATTTAAATAATTTAAATAATTTAAATCCTGGGGGAGGGTCCCGGGGCCCCGGAACCCCCCCCAGACCCCCTCCCCAGGATTTAAATTATTTAAATTATTTAAACTATTTAATTCCCGGCCCCAATTAAATAATTAAATAATTTAAATATGGGGGAGGCCCCCGGATTTAAATTATTTAAATTATTTAATTCCCGGCCCCAATTAAATAATTTAAATAATTTAAATAATTTAAATAATTTAAATCCTGGGGGAGGGTCCCGGGGCCCCGGAACCCCCCCCAGACCCCCTCCCCAGGATTTAAATTATTTAAATTATTTAAATTATTTAAATTATTTAATTCCCGGCCCCAATTAAATAATTTAAATAATTTAAATAATTTAAATAATTTAAATAATTTAAATCCTGGGGGAGGGTCCCGGGGCCCCGGAACCCCCCCCAGACCCCCTCCCCAGGATTTAAATTATTTAAATTATTTAAATTATTTAAATTATTTAAATTATTTAATTCCCGGCCCCAATTAAATAATTTAAATAATTTAAATATGGGGGAGGCCCCCGGATTTAAATTATTTAAATTATTTAATTCCCGGCCCCAATTAAATAATTAAATAATTTAAATAATTTAAATAATTTAAATCCTGGGGGAGGGTCCCGGGGCCCCGGAACCCCCCCCAGACCCCCTCCCCAGGATTTAAATTATTTAAATTATTTAAATTATTTAAATTATTTAATTCCCGGCCCCAATTAAATAATTAAATAATTTAAATAATTTAAATAATTTAAATCCTGGGGGAGGGTCCCGGGGCCCCGGAACCCCCCCCAGACCCCCTCCCCAGGATTTAAATTATTTAAATTATTTAAATTATTTAAATTATTTAATTCGGGCCCGGGACCATCCACCGAACAGACCCAGGATATAATCGCCATCTGCCTGTCTATATTAAATACTATAGGCGTGAAAACCCACAGTTTCAGCTGGCGATAATACCCCATTTAAGCCGCCACCCCCCCCCCCCCTAAACCCAAACCCTATAAACCCTAAGCCAGAGGGTCCAAGTACCCAAATACTAGGGTTTTAGATCCGCAAATCCATACCCTGAATGGTTTTTGGATCTTGAAACCCTACTATTTGGGCACTTGGACCCTTAGGGATCCTACCCCTAAACCTTAAATCCTAGAAACCCTAAACCTAAATCCCCCTAAACCCTATAAGCCCTACAAGGCCTGAGCCTGGGTGATGCCCTGACGTCCCGAAATTCGTCGAAGCCCTTCGCCCTGGAGGCATCTCTGAGGCCCTTCAGCGGTCCGTGTTACTTACCCTAAGGCTCGAAATGGCCCAAAAGCCTTACACAATATGGTCTTTAGGCCCAAGAGCCTTAAAATTTGAGTCCTTAGAGCCTTAGGGTTAAAGTTCAGATGTTTAGGCATTTAGCAAGATTCCAGGGTTTAGGAGGTTAGGGCTTTAGTTTAGGGAGCTAGGAAGTTTGGGTTTAGGGGTAACGGTTTAGGGTTTAGGGGCTTTGCTGTTACCTGCTTAGAGGTGTTCGTGAAGGGGTGGGTATGGGCCAATAGGGTTTTAAAGGGCTAGATAAGGTTTTATGTTCATGCGCTAGCTCTTTACAGGTTTTTACGGTTTAACACCAATCTACAACAAAGTTCCTGACGTAGTCCGGGCGTGTGGGTGTGTGTGCTTTTGTTTCTTGCATCTGGGCCACAAGTCCACGTTCTTGCAGTCTTCAACATTCCGGTGCTCGCGAATGCCGCCATCACAGTCATGAAGTCTATGGTCACCCAGATCTCAGTCGCGCTGTCCCACAGTCCGCGACCTACTGCCCGTTGTCTTCGGGAACTTTGTTTCTCGACTGCCTTACATGCTGATGTATCGTTGTCCCCCCGAGCCAGCCTGCGCATGGAGTTGGAAGAAACTCAAGACTGAGCGCGAGCAGAAGGTTGTGGCACATCAGCTGCTTTGGGAGAGTGAGCTGGAGACTGTTGAGAGCTCAGGGTGTAGAATCTTTCCCTGACTCTTCAATAACGCATGGGCCGGTATGTCCAACCCAGGGCCACAACATTCTGCGACTGAAGAGGTTTCGAGCCCGACCCCTGGCCCTAAACCAGAAGCACTATAACTTTACACCAGAAACCAGACTCCCATGACTTACATTACACTCTAAACCCTAGGCCTATACACTGTCAGAGCTCTGATGGAAGTCTGATACGGTTTAGGCCTAGGGTTTAAGATGAAGAAGAGCTCTCATAGAAGCCATATGAAACCCTTTGACAGTCCTTTTGACCCGTATCGAACCCTTAACGCTTCCTTTCGTCAATCGGTAAGTCTTTAAGCAAAGCTTGATATAGTCCCGCACTAGGAAAATGAACTAAAGCTGTTTTGGCTTCCTTGGGAAGCCTAGCTAAGGCCTCATAATCTCCAAACCTAAGCCCAAACCCTAAAGAACTGACCCTAAACCCTAAATCCCCAAACCCTGAACCAGCAGGGCTTTTAGGGCTTACCTTAACCCCCAGCCCCAATATCCTAGCTTGTTAACCCTACCTAAGCAAATCACACAAAGCAGCACCCCAACAGGGTAGGTTTAACAAGATCCAGGTAAGCCTAGAAAACCGGAATCCCTAAACCCTACCTGGGGATCCCCAAACCTACCGTTTTACAGAACATCACGCCCTCCCGTTTTAAGGGTTCTACCCTCTAATTAAGGGGCCATAACCTACTATTTTGTAGGGTTTGGGGTCACAGGTAAGCCCTGAACCGATAAGAGTTACGTCCGCGGCATGACCGTCGGGGAAGGTCGCATCGTGGACGGGGGTGGAGGGGAAGGGGGGATGGCAGCGGTGAGAACCCTAAACCCCCAAACCCCGAAACCCTAAACCCTAAAACCCTGAACCCTAAAGTCTGCCATACGGAGGGTCCGAGCTATTTCGATTCGGGGAGGCTCACGGCCGCCTACCTGGAGCTCGCGCCGGGCACTGCCGAGGAAGGGGGTTTAGGGGTTTAAGGGTTTATAGTGTTTAGGGGATTTATCAGAGGTTTAGAGTTCAGGGTTTACGTGGGTTTACTACGGTTTCCCCAGACCTTACAATGTGGTACCTGTTTGTTTGCATTTAGGTCCGAGCCATATAACAGTGTATCCACATAAAGACAATACATTGTGGGTGTCTGGGCGGTTTCCTCCCTTACTCGGCTGCAGGGGTTAAAAGATTCCATAAGGATTCCTTGCAGGCTTGCTTAACGGGTTTCTTCGAAACGTTCCTTGCAAAGCTCGGTGAGTGCTTGCGGTTGATGATATAAACCCTGCATGACCCATTTTAAGGAATATACCATAATTCCCATAGTTTACGGCCCTCGAGGTAATGCAGGATTTATATCAATATCCGTTGTAGGGGTGTATGGCTTTACAAGGGTGTGCGGCCTTAGGCTTGAGGTCAAGGGCATAGCTTGGGTACTGCCCCCACTCAGTAACAGCTGGATAATATTCATAATATAGGTATACTAGGACCTTAATACTACCCTTATTGTAGACTGTTACTTTATGGGGGGCAGGACCCAAGGCATAGCCATTGTTAGTTCGTCGTTGTTGAGGGGCTTGTAGGCTTCAGAGCTGTTGAGGGATACGGCGTTGTGGCGTTGGCTTTGGGGTTTGTAGGGCTCTATCTAGAAAGTTTAAATAGGCTATGTTGCACTTGACTGTTCTGGTCTCATGTATGGTCACTGAAGCAAGTCTTGTGGTAAGCATATGCTCCCCTCACAAGCCAAGCTGCATAACTACCATCCAAAGCCAATTTTGAGAGTATTGGGTCCTTTGGCGTGCCCCCTGTTTGATTTAGGTTTGCATATTAGGCTTCGTGGGTTCAGGCTGGCTCTCTAGAACCATGATGGAAGTTACCAATTTTGCCAAAAGCCTCAAGAAAGCCTAAGCCCGAAACCCCACACCGAATTAGAGCTGCGAGGCTCCCTTGATCCCGAAACCCGGGGAGCCTTCCCCCAACACAAAAAAAAAACGGAACAACCCCAGCCGTATCCCTTCCCCCAATGCCTCAACTCAAGACTAGCTTTAGTGCTTTTGGGAACTGCATGTATACAACTATACAGTTACAGTCTTCCAGACACCTCGGAAGGCACCTTGTCAAGCCTCCTTCTCGAATCCCTTATAAGACCTTGTCTCAAAGGCATATGAAAGCGCAGACATCACCACAAGCCTAAGCCTTAAACCGAAACCCTGCTCTAAATCCGAAAGCCCTGACAAGACCCGGATCTTTCCGGCTGTCTAGGAGCCGACAGATCTAGTGCTGGCCGAGACGCTTGCAGGCCAGAAGCGAACTCTGGTTACAGTGGTTTGTCATGTATTGTATAGTGGCTTGGGGGGTTTAGGGGTTATGGTTTAGGTTACTGTAGAGGTACGTACCATTCCGCAGTAGTTCCTATGCAAATGTACCATGATGTATCCCCAAGTAAGGCTCCCTGTGTCGTCGTTGGTCTGGCGGCTCGGAATTAACGATGGTGCTTCTGGGCATTTACACAAACCTTGCGCCCCTTACTCAATGTAGGAATACGCGGCGCAGAGTTCAAGAACACCGGAACCCGGAATTCAGAACCTGTGGAACAGGTGCTCTTTTGGGTGACCTCCCAACCCCAAGGGTCCATGTACCTAAGTACTATAAACTTGAGCCTTAAAGTAGTCCCTGCAAAGGCACTCTGGGGCCAAAGTCTACAGGATTTGGGTTACATGAACCCTCATACGCCTTATACCCTAAGCCCTTACAGATCCCGTAAAGGAGGCCTTATGGTACCCTTCCCTAGACCCCCCAAAAGTAGGTAAAATAATAGCCCAAAACCTCTATACGGCTATTATCCTACATACTTTGGGCATGGACCCTTATACCCTAAACCCTACTAGAACCCTTATAGTTCAAGGAACTGGTACCCTTGAAAGGAACCCTGTTGAGGTACATAATAACCCTAAACCCTAAACCCCTAAACCACTGTTAGGGTACATACGGTTGATGATATAAATCCTTCCTGACCCACTATAAGGAATATACCATAATTCCCATAGTTTAGGGTCCTTAAGGTAATGCAGGATTTCTTTCATCAACATAAGCCCCTCTGGCAGGCTCCTCCTATTGCATGGCACGGTGTCTTGGCCGCCTTAGCGGGGCTGAAGATTGGCTTTGGATGGCTTAGGGTTTAGGGGTTTAGGGGTTTAGATTACTGTAGCCCGCTTAGGAAGTATTTTTGATTTTTGCTCATATAAAACCCAAGAGAATATCAAACATACTATGTTCATTATGTTTCTATAACGGAGGTTTAGATTAGGGCCCCAAAATAGCACATAAGCAGAACTAAGGATGGGATATCCCGTATAAACTCCACAGATAATATAAAATGCCTATGATTATGTCCTTTCGGGGTCCCTAATGGATGCGTCTCTGTTACACCCTGAAACACTAGACCCTTAAAGTACCCCGAAGATATGACATAAATTTTGAGCTTGTGGTTCATCTGTTTGACATAGTCAGAGGCGGATACCTTTGGGCTTTTGGGTTTAGCGCCCGGAGGAGTTTGCAGACTTCCCGTCTGGATAAGTTCCTAGGTTACTCTACATTGCGTTTAGGTGCCTTGATTGGCTAACAAGAAATTTCGAGCCTTACCCACTTCCCGGGCACATGGGCAGGAATTGGTGGGGCACACAGTTTTGCGGTTTTCTGGTTAGGACCATGGATAATTATGCTACTCTGCCTCCGCTTGCTAAGCAAGAGGGTCGCTGCCAAATTCCCTTTGCCTGATGACCATAAACCCCACGTGCGAAGAAGGAGAAGACAAGCGAGTTATGCCAGTTTGGGGCATTCTACGGTTCTGACGTACTTGAGCCCTTAGGGTAAGAGATATGGAGTCTCGCAAACTCTTGCAGAATGAGCTTAAAGGCTTAACTAGTAGACTGTCAGACTCTTTAACTCCCCATGGCTTGGGAAACCTTGGTGCTAAGGTGGCATCGGCGGCTGCGTGTCCAGGGCGAGTTTGTGATCAACTGCTGGCGGACTCAATCTTTTGTGCCGCACAAGGTGCGCTTCGGGGTCGTGGTGCAGCTAATCAGAGAATGGTTGTTTTCCTCGGGTACTTTTCTTTAGTTGCCGTATTATCTCCTATAGGATCCGAAGGGTAGGAGGCTGCCCAAAAAAGAGAAGAGGTTTTACGGTACATTGCAGCTTGTGATAGGGCCTACAGTCGGACAACCGGCTGCTTGACGGGCAAGTCTCAAAGGAGGCCAAAAGGGGTTTAAGGGTTTAGGTAGGTAGGATTAAGGATCCCTTATATAAGGACTCTTATTTGGGAATATCCCACCTACCTTCATCCCACCTTTTGAGGCCTCCGAAAAAGGGGTTTGAGCCCATGGGGGTTTAGTAGGGATTAGGGTTCTGAATAGTAGGGTTCATATGAAGGAATCCCTACCCAAGAATCTTAACCCCCCCCTGTTGGCCTCCCATCAAAGTCTTCCGGGGACTGGGCGCTTTTGGTCTAAGCTTCAAAAACCGAAGGCTTTCGGAGCCCATGCTCCGCAGAGAATTAGGGTTGAAGTTTACCCTGAGGGTCCATGTACCCTTATACTAGATACTTTGATCGTAAAGTAATCCGTCCCTATATATAGATACTTTGGGGCGGCAGTACTAACTATTTGGTTGAAGGTTTTCAGCCACCAGGCACGGGACCAGAAACCCTGAACCATGAACTATAAATCCCAGCCGCTACACACCTTCGTGGACGCATTTACTGCTTTCCGAATCCCTGGCGACCATCTCCTACTAAACTGCACGGCAGCCCCGATCAACCTGACATCTTGGAGAGTAACCCTCAACCCTAAGTCCTAAAGATCAGCCTGACATCTTGGAGAGTAACCCTAAACCACACAGCCCTAAAGATCAACCTGACATCTTGGAGAGTAACCCTAAACCCTAAAGTCCTGAAGATCAACCCGACATCTTGGAGAGTGCTTAGGGTTCCAGGTTTAGGTGCAGTGCCCGTTCGGCGTGCCTAAATGGGCAGTTCTCTAAGTTAGGGTCCCGTTTAGGGTCCTTGGAAAAAGGGGCCCTAATTTAGAGAACTACCCTTAACCCTAAACCCTATTCCGTAACCCTTATATAACCCCTAAACCCTAAACCCTAGCCCCTAAACCCAGAGAGGGTCGCAGGAGCTCGAATGAAAGGGTTCCTACAAGCCCAGGCTGCTCAGTGGTACCCTTTTTTACTTTCAGGTTGTTGGGTTCCTATTATAAAATGAGAAGCCTAAAAAAGTATTTACTTTTTCCCAGTGGGTTACTGAACAGCCTACAAAACCTACCCTCCAGGCTCGCGTGGATCTCATCTTGGAGGCGCCTCTTCTTGCGGAAGCCATGGGTGCCAGCTGTGAGTACTGACTGTTCAGGGTTTAGAAATAGTCTCCATTGTAGTTCCCTTTTGGGGTTACCTTTTAGGATCCCAAATATAGAATTGGTTAAACCAAAAAACGGAACTACAATGGAGACTATAGGTAGGGTTCAGCGTGAAGGGTTCAGGGTCACGAAGGTTAGCGTTTGGGATGTAGGGGTCCAGGTTGAGGGCTCAGGGTGTGCGATTCAGGGTTTATCGCCTAGGGTGTTCGTGTTGAGCGTTGGTAGGAGGGCTTCGAGTGCTAGTGCTGTGGTGCAAGGAGGTTAGTGTGATGGCGGTGGCGATGATATGTCTGCTGCTGCTGATGCCGAAGCTGTTGTTGATGTTGACATGATGTTCATGATACTGATGTTGCTGCTGATGATGATGGTGGTGACACTGGTCGTTTGTCACAAGCACTGAAACTTGTGCTGCGGTGGCTGTTGACACGAGTACCATTGGAACGTTCGTTAATATAGTATATATGTTTGACAAGGTAGAATTCTTGTCCAAGAGCGTGTCGCCCACAGTTTAGCTTATCCGAAAAGCCATGTAACAAGACTCTGCTAGTTGGCCACCCGAGACATGGTAAAACAAAGATGGTGTGTTAGTGTTTGTGCTAATGGCTTGAAGCACGAAGCTTTCAAGACCGCCGTGAAAACGGAGCCTACAACACAGACTACGACTACGACTCGCCCCAACGCACGGAAAGAGATCTCGAAGGAACCTTCGGCACGTGGTCCTACGTGAGCTTCACACTTCTGTAGCTTGGAACAGGAGAAGTGCCTAAGCAAACCCACAACTCTCACAGACAATTCTGCTGAAACATGTATGTGTTTCTCAAGGAAGCCATCGCGCAGAGTCGTGTGGGTGTCCCATGCACGTTGCTGTAGTGTTGTGACGACCCTTTAGTGTTGTGATGGAATGTTCGTGGACCTGGTAGTGAGGTCTGCTCATGAGAGATTTTGGAGTAGCTCTTGTGTCAAATGCACCCTGAAGGTACAACCCACATATTCCTAAATCCTAAACCCCAAACCCGACAAAGTCTAAAGTTACACGTATATCGTTGTTTAGGTTTGGATGTGCCGAAGCCAAAACCCCTAAACCACACCTGATATCTGAAGCTCCCACTTCGCTCGACACAGAAAGCTTGAAACGTTCGAGCTCTTGGATGTCTGGTCGAATATTTTCAGTACTTTTAAAGTTATGAGAAGGAGTTTAGGGTTCGAGGAGTATTGATTCAACTATACTGCAACTAAAAGGAGTTCGGGGGTTAAGGTTCATTGTTTGGGGCAGGTGGCTTGAGTCCTAGAGGAGGGAGGGATCAAAGGCCCAAGTATCCCCAAATTGAATGGGAGAGTTGTTGTTGCGAGGACTTGAACCGACAGAAGAAATCGGTTGATCCCGAGGCATGGGGGGGGGCATCAGGGGGTGAGTTTTTCCTGAGATGAGCGAATTCTCCTCCTAAACCCTAAACCCCTAAGATGATCTCCATGCCAGTCTCCTGAGGGAAGGAAATTTGTTAATCAGGGGTCTTCCTTTGTTGCCCAGGGAGGTTAGTTTAGAGGTAATATAGGGGCCTAGACAATTACCTGTACTATTTTGCCGGTTCCTTAATGTAGGTCTACATCTGTTCCTCAGGGTTCAGGATGGAAGGGTTTGGATTCCAGGATATTCACCCTAAACCCTAAACCCTGATTTCAGGATATTCACGTTCCTTCGGATGGTGGCGAAGTTTGTAGATTAGACGAGGAGCAGATCCCTGGAGGGGCCAGAGCTTCCGGGAGGCAGGGTTTAGGGTTTTGGAGTTTAGGGGTTTAGAATTTAGGGTCTAGGGGTTAGGGTTTAGGGGTTTAGAGTTTAGGGTTTCGAGGTCTAGGAATTAGGGATGAGGATAAATTGCGTGGGCCTTCGGACTTGTTGTTCTGAGGGATTGAGGCTTTGGAACTTCAGACAGGGGACCTTCGCCCGAAGTACCTAACCCCCCCTAGGCCCTAAACCATAATTATTTTTTCATGAAACACTAACCCCCCAAACACGAAACCACAAGAATCCCTAAACCCTAGGCCCAAGACCCTAAACCCTAAGCCTAAAACCGTAAACCCTAAGTCCAAAACCCGTGAACCCTACACCGTAAACCCTTCACCGGACCTGAACCAACAAAAAATACCCAGGCTAATTAAACCCTAAGCCCTAACCCACTAAACCCTGAACCCTAGTCCCCTAAACTAAACCACACAACCCTAAACCCTTATCCCCTCAACAGCTCAGCCCATAATTCAACCCCTAGCCCCCTACACAACCCTAAACCCTTATCCCTAATTCAACCCCTCAGACCCTCAACCCTTCCCTAAACCCTAAACCCTAAGCCCTAAACCCTAAACCTTGCAGGTCTTCGTTGCTGCGATCCTCTCGGTGGAAGCCTGCGAGGGTGAGCAAGGCTCAGCTCCCTTCGTTGGTTTAGGGTTCAGGGTTTAGGGTTTTAGGGGTTTACGGTTCAGGGTTTAGGGTTTTAGGGGTGTAGGGGTTTAGGGGTTTAGGGTTTAGGGGTTTAGGGTTTAGGGTTTAGGGTTCGGGGAGTAGGGTTTGGGGTTTTTGTTGGTTCAGGGAGTAGCGTTTAGGATTCAGGGTTTAGGGTTTAGGGGTTCTGTCACGCTGCATCCTTGTGTATGCTGACGACATCTGTTATACAGAAATATTGTGCGAGAGGCAAAGAAACTCAACAACAACATACGTACACACTGTCAGACTGTTTTTACAGTACATACATGCATACATACATACATACTCAGTTACCCACCTACATACGTATGTGCGTATGTACATACATACATACGCATTAGTATACGTACATCTATTTTTTCATTTACACACACAAAAACATGCAAGCATACATACATACATACATACATACATGCATACATACATATACATACATATACATATATATATATATATACATACGTATACATACACATGCCCACAAAGGATGTATGTTCAAAAAATTTATTGGGCTGCTAAGGCCTTTGTTGGCTCTGGAGTTCGCAGGGTTCATAGGGCCTAGCAGCATCTTCTATATCCAGCATGAGAAATACTCTTCAATATCAGATTACCTGATAGGCGTATCCCTGCTATGGTGTATCGGGTGATCTGGGATTTACAGTCCTAGTATGGCTTAATTTGGTGCTCCGGTATTTTAGTCACTAGCTCTCAGTGGCTCAGGGTTGCATAAGGGTTTATTGGGGGCTGCGGCGACTGTGTTGCTCCAAAGACCGCTTAACCCGAATCTGGCTTACTCCCCTCGAAATCACCCAGCAATTCCTGGCTGTTGTGTGGAAGGATGTCCGACTTCGCGGCCGTTGGAGCCCGCCGAAGCACCGTTTGCACCGGAGGAGAACGACGTTGTCAGCTCAAGCTGCATTGTATTCGCCGAGGGCTTTTCGACCCTGGCCGAAGCTCCGGCACCGCACAGCAGCCAGGGAGCCTTTCCTATAGTCTCCATTGTAGTTCCTTTTTGGGGTTTAGGGGTTTGGGTTTAGGGGTTTAGGGTTATTATGTACCCTAACAAGGGTTTACCTGTAGTCTCCATTCTAGTTACTAGTTACTTTTTGGGGTTCCCTTTTAGGATCCCTAATATAGAAATGGTTAAACCAAAAAAAGGAACTACAATGGAGACTATAGGTCGAGACAGAAGACATCCTCCCTGTCGCCTATGAGGCAGCGATGCCTCGTCTTTGCACCCTCATGCCTCCCTGGTTGGAGAGCCCATAGGATATGTTAGTAAGACTCCTGAGCCCCTACACCCTAAACCTGAACCCAATGAAGCCCCCACACGTTTCCTGTGGACGTAAGTCAGGAATTACCCAGCAAACCGGAAAGAACCTGAGTGCCTACAGGGCCTACATACAAACAAATAGCACAAGCATCCTCCATGAGACTCCACTGCGTTAAGGGTTCAGGGTTTCAGGGCTTAGGATTTAGGACCCTTCTTTTGGTGACTTTTCTCATGTCATGTAAGGATTTGTTGAAGGGTTTTGTAGGGTTTCATATGGTTGTTTCTGAAGATTTGGGTTTCCTTTTACAGGGTCCTGATTTCACATGATAAAAAAGAAGGGCACGATGTAGGCACAGAGGGCCCGTGGAGGCCTAAACCCCAGACCTACACCTACACCTGCACGTTGAAGCCTCTGACTTGCCCTGGGGCCCCCGTCCAGCTACATCATGGGTAACCGGGTTGCTGGCGTACCTGGTATGTCTATATTAGCTACCAGAAGCCATTTACAGTACAGGAACCCTAGGGTTCCAAGCCGTAAGACCTTTGGTCCCTGAGTCTCTATAGAACTCAAATACGGCCCCTGTTTCGGTATTCGGACCCTCATTTATGCAACTAAGCCCTGAAACCCTAAACCCTATAACTCTAAGCCCACTGCCAGATGCAGAGAAGGGCAAAGAGCGTGTGACGCTCGCACTTGGAGACAAGTGGCAGGCACCTTTCACCTTTCTTCGTTTGATAGGATATGGTTTTGGGGCTTAGCCATGAAGGCTTATAGGGCTGAAGGGCTTGAGGGATTGCAGGTTGTAGTGTATTCGGTCTGCTGTTCAGGGCTTGTGAGGGTTGGGGTTGTAGTGGTTTAGGCCTTGGGCGCTAAAGACTTGAGGATCATTTAGGATCTTCGACTTTAGGTTGCATGGTTTTTGGGCTTCAGGCATTATAGTAAACCCCATAACGTTGGAAACCGGATTAGGGCCAAATAGTCAGGCGAAGTCCCTGTTGAGGACGACTCTGTGTCGTTTACACCGATTTATTGCGCGCCCGAATTTTGCTGCCTCCTCATGGGCAGGGCCCGGAGCATTCGTGCTTCGCCACAGCTGGATTCGTGGGCAGTGGGTCTGGTCGTCCTACAGCTACACACGCTGGACCACGCGCTGAACTTTGTCGTCCAGGCCCTGGAAGAAATACGACTGAGGTATCTGAATATCTGTTCCAAGACGAGCAAGAAACGCAGAGGTGTGAAGAAATGGGTGACAAGGTCGGAACTCGAGAAAAAACTCTCCGCCGAGATTGCATCCGCAATCATCCAGAACAAGGAAAACACGTCGGAGTCTCGCGACCACCCGGACGCCCCGGGTTGTGCCGCTGCTCGCCAGTTTTGGGTTTTGGATGAAGAAGCCGAAGAAGACGTGCAGGAAGACTGGGTGAGCCGATTGCTTACAATCACCGACGAGCAGGAGCCAAGGCCGTCCAAAGTCGTGGTCCGCACACGCCCCCCCAAAGCCATGGCAGGATCTTTAACACCGCTTGAGTCAGCATGATGCACGGGCACTGACAGACCTCCTTGCGTGCAACCCACGTGGCCGATTGACACCGGCGCAGGCCTTGGCCTACTCACCTTGGCGAATAAGCGGACGCGGCAAGCCCTATACATTACTATTAAGGGCTGAGGCTATTGGGTTTCCAACTTTTACGCTTCTACTGTAGGCCTTCTCGGTTGTAGGGTGTGTTGGGGCTCTAGGGTTTGGATTTTCGGGGCTTTGGTAGGCTTGCGTTTCCTGTTGTCACATGCATATCTGGAAGGGTCCAAACAGGTTTTATGTTTTCATGATGGGTGGAGGGTTTCGGGTTTGTGGCTGAGATTTGAGTAATCTCTCAAGCAAATATACTGAACACAGCCACGCTGCAAAACTCCATCGTGAATATAGAGTTTAGCACTTGAGATTGAGGATTTAGGTCAGGTTAGAGAAGTCTGCACTGTTTCGTCCCCAAACTCTGAGCCCTTTTCTTTCTGTCGGGCCTTGGCATACCTAGAGTCTAGAGGCACATACCCTAACCCTTGTTTAGGATACCTAGTTTTATGGTTAGGTTCTGTTGTGTAGAAAAGTAGATGCCCTAGTAAAGGGGTGTTGGTTATGAGCCTACAGGTAATATATGGGGCCCAAATAATTACCCAGATTATTTTGGGGGTTCCTTGTTATCATCATAATACAATGGGCCACAACCCCTACACTAATCATTCACCCCCCAATATCATAGTACCCTCATAGATCCCTTATAGTAACCCTTATAGACCCCTTTTGTCGGAATGTTACTTTAATTAGTAAGGCACCTATAGTTACTCTCCGAAAGGCCCTGACAGCCCCAGCTTTGGCGACACAGGTGTGCTTCGTGTCTGGAGACCGCTTGCGCTCGGGAATGCTGTCAGGCCGGATTCCTTGGGGAAGGTTTATAGGGTTTAGGTTCTACTTGGAGGGTCGGGGGACTTAGTAAGCAGTCACTAAGTAGAGCCGGAAGTAGCCCAAAAAGGCTCCTAATTGGGGGTTTGATACTTATAATTCTAATAGAAAGCAGAGCCAGAAGTAATGCAAAAGGTTCTTAATTGAGGGTTGATACTTATAACCTATAACTCTACTGGGTTGTCCTTTGGGATCTCTTTTAGTTTCCCCTGCTATTTTGTAGAGAACCATAGTAGTAAAGAGTTTTCAAAGGGCTTAAAAGACAACTCAGTCTATAAAGTAGAGGAAAGCATGGCACTTACAGTACAGTTCTATCAAGGAGCTACTTAGTAAGTCCCCCCCCTTCCAAGTAGGGTTGCGGGCTCGGGTCACCTACAGTCTCCGTTGTAGTTCACTGTAGTTCCGTTTTGGGGATGCCTTATAGGATCCTAGCTATGTCATGGAGTGAAGCCAAAGAAATAGAACTACCATGGAGACCCTGTGTAGGATCTAGGATTTAGGATTCAGGACGTTGTGAGGGTGCGGCTTTCGGTGTTATTTCTCGCAGAATTTTGGGCCCAAAAGGGTCCCAAAAAAAGGGTCGTCGAGGCCAATCTCTTCCCCTTCGGCCCACGTCTATCCCAAGATCTTCCAAAGTCCTTTACTTATTCCCTTCATTTTCTATAGAAGGATCCCGGTCCTGGCCCAATCAAACACGAAAAATTTCCCGAAGTAATGTACATTGACGGATCTGGGTACCTCTTTGAAATGACACGAACCCGATCACACAATGTCACACAATGCTTGTGCAAGCCCCAAATCACGGGTCCAATGAAGGGGCATTAGTGATCATACCTATACTAAATTCTAGCATAGTGGGCCCCAAAACGGCTGCTCTGCACCCTGTATGGAAACAGTGAAAGCCAGATGAAATGCTTCTGTTTAGATTGAGGTCTTTGCAGCGTGCCTGTTCTAAGTAAGATTTTCGGGTGGCTATTTGGAGCAGAGGAACAGAATTCCAGCTAAGAGCCCAGTCAGCAGATAATGTCAGGTGGGTGAGAGTCTCACCCTGCAATTACAACGCAGCATTGGGAACAGAATCAGTCTTTGTGGGCCTGCCATTGATACCCTTATGCAGTTTTACTTGGGGTCTCCTCACAAATAATTAACGGGTACCTCCCTTCTAAAACCCCGTGCAGAGGAAGCTAGATCGAACTTTGCGAAGCCCAGAAAGACGTCGTAAATATGTTCTGGCGTCTTTAATGCCCGAGGAACCAAGCTTTGTGAAGCGCCCCTGAACCCAGGATCCCAGAATATGAATTCGGTTAACCCAAAAAATGAACTACAATGGAGACTGTAGGTACCCAAAGGCCCCACCAAGTAGTTCCTTTTCGGGATTCGTATATAGAAGACTATAAGGTAATCCCAAAAAGGAACTACTATGGGGCCTCTGGGTAACCCTAAACCCCCAAACCTGTAAGCCCTGAACCCTAAACCCCTGAACCCCATATCCCCCAAATCCTAAACCATAACTCTATGGGAGCTCACTTAGAGGATCATGGCACTTAGTAAGTAAGGTTATCAGTCCCTTAATTGGGGTTACAAGTAGTTATAAGTACAGTTGCCTTATTTATAACCCTAGTTACTAAGTCCCATGAGCCTTTAAGCATTGTCGTCAGGTTCGCCGGCGTGGCGCCAACAGCTGCTAGAGGCAAGTGCGCGCAACGAGGTCGGCCGGTCCACCAGCGGCGCTTAGAGTTTAGGGTTATAGGGGCCTAAATCATTCCCAAAGGGGTTCCTGGGGTTCCGGCACGGTATAACTTACCCCCAAACCCCCAACACCAAACTGCCAGGACCCTCCTTGTACCATTAGTCAGGGGTGAATGGTTCCGAATTGGAGGTATTTAATGTCACACAAAGGGTAGATGGAGGGTCTGAGTAGGTTTTAGATGTTTTGATGTGTAGACTAGTAACTAGTATGTTCTTACTAGCTGAGCAGCTAAACTTGAAACGTTCGGTGGGATCTTTACAACCTCCCTCAACATCCCCTTGAGCACCGCCATTTTATGAATGTGTATCGTTTCCCTCGATGCTCACCGTAGTCTGGGCGTCCGATCTCTGTGAAGGGCAGCATGCTGGGTACTGAAAAGCGATGCCTCGCGAACAACAACCGACGACACTGACGATGATAACACCGTCAACGACAACACCGCCGCCGTCACCCCCACCACCAACAACAACAGCAACCACAGCAAGAACCACAGCAACCCCTAATGCTAGAAGCATCCTCAATACCGACACTGTACAAAGAAGGGTTTGTCTTTGCGTTTGTGTAGTTAGGGTGATATTGACCCTTATGAATTACAAGACCGTGAACTACAACGAACTGCAAAGCCTTAAAGCCTGAAGCGCATGCCCTAAACATGTCAAGTCCCTGCGAACCCCGACGATGAGCCAAAGCACAAGACCTTAACCCGTATTCAGCACCCCCCCCCCCCTCCTCCCCAGAGGGTTTTAATTGACCCGCAACCTGTGTCCTCATGGGATAGTAGTTGTCTAGGTCCGTATCTTGGGGTATTTTTGGCCATATAGGATTCTTGGGTACAGCTGGCCATGGCGGTAGGACTTGAAATGCCAAACCCTAAGCCCTAAACCCGATCCCAAAAAACCCAAAAAGGGCCCTAAATAATTACCTATATATTTTTTGGTGGCGTTCCTTATTACAATAAAATATCATGGGCGCTAAAACCCCTATTCTAATCATTAAGGCCCCTTTTTTATTAAACTGTAGAGCGACAGGTCATTGAACTGCAGACGCACCTGGAGCTCACCTTCTCTACGACGGAGGGAGGATCCCCCCTGTCTTCTCTCTATTCCTGCTGTTGTAATTATGTTCTTGTCTTTACCTATGATTATTGCTTTTGTTATTCCTATTATTCTACTATTATCATTTACTATTTTGCTATTTATTATTAGAAATTACTGCTTTCCTCAGTATTCGTGTTGAAAGTCTGCGTTTGCCTGGAGAGTTTCATCGCAATTTCTGTACTGCTTCTGTTGTGCAAGAAGACCAAGTGGGCTCAGCATTCAGGGCTTCAAGTTTGCATTTGGTTTAGGGATCAAGGGAGCATTAAGACTAGTCTTCTTCTTATGGTCCCAATGTTTCAAGATTTGCGGTTACGAGCGCTTTTCGTTTCAGGGTCGGGGTTTAGTAGTGTCAGAGGTAAGGTTTAGAGTCCAAGCCTCGTCTTGAAGGTCCGGGGTGTCTAGCCTGGATGAGGGTTACGGTTTAGGGTTTCAGGGTTTAGGGTTTAGGGGTTTAGGGTTTAGGGGTTTAGGGTTTAGGGGTTTAGGGGTTTAGGGGAATAAACGGGGCAGTCTGGCTTTAGTTGAGATCGAAGTGGAAGCAGATGAGGCTCCTACCGGCAGCCAGAGACCTCCGCCAGTCGTCCTGGAACCTCTCTCTGTAGGTACCTATGGTCTCCATTGTGGTTCCTTTTTTTGGTTTAACCAATCCTATATTAGGGATCCTAAAAGGTAACCCCAAAAAGGAACTACAGTGGAGACGATAGGTACAGAGGCAATCGTCGTGGGGGCAGCGTGAGAGCCAGGCTGGTGCTTGGAACGAAGGATCAAAAGCGGCGCACGTTCACGGTTGACGAGGCCCACTTGCAGCCATGCAAGGACAGTGCTGCAAGCATGGACGACGGCGTCACGCCCCGTCTTCGCTGGATGATCAATCCCCCGCCTTTGACGATTTATTCAGCACGGTTTTTGTTAGGCCGGGCCTCGCTGTCGACGATGGTGCCACCAGCAGCTCCCAAGCGTGACCACAGTGGAAGGCTGCCGGAGCCGGCTCTAGACGGGGGTTTCCGAAAATAGGGGACCCTAACACAGTTTATAGTACCCTAAATAGGAGGATCCTTATTATAAGGACCCCAAAATAAGGTATCCCCTAATTTGAAACGCTGCGCGTCGTCCGCCTCGGCCCGGCTGTACGCGCATGCGGCGAGTGGCTACTAACTGCAGCAAGCTCTTGTAGGAAAAAAGTAACAGTTGGAATCGCACTTATAGTAAAAGTAATGTTCATAGCAACACGAAGCAGGATGATTGTGAGTAGTATTAGTAGTATCAGTACGAATTTTGGTGTCGTCATTCCGAAACACTGGATACCAAGACTCTCGCAAGCGGCGGGATGCCTTAAGTATGGGCCGTTGAGGCTGTGGATTTCGTGGGCGTCTTGGATTAGGGAAGCATCACAGCCTTTTCAACCACGTTACTCCGCCTATCCCAACGAAAGGGCGTCTAAAACAAGCCTGAGACGCACATAAAGATGCTACATTGCAGTCCCGTGTCGTCGAAAACTCCAGAAAGCTCGCACCTGTCAGCGAGCGGAGGGAAGGGGGAGTGGGGGGGGCGGGAGGGGAGGGGGGGGAGGGAGGGGGGGGAGGGGGGGGCGCGGGAGGGGGGAGAAGGCGGGAGGGGAAGCGAAGAAAATTGGGTGGGCCGAGCCGGAAACCCCCAGATCTTGCACTCCCAGAGCCCTGGAGGCCACCGAGATCCGGAGACTGGTCGCACCTAGAGGTTTGGTTTGGTATCTGGGGTGTGGTTCTGTGGTTCCGTGTAAACCCCAAACTCTAACCCCTAACACCCAAAAACCCTAAAACCCTAAACCCAGAAGCACATAGCTCTTAGCCCCCCTGAAACCCTTAACCCAAAGCACATAGCCTTACTGTTCGGCCCGAAATTCACGCACAACGGTTTTTGAGAGGAGCTCACAACTTCACCGTCAAGCCGGCTCCTGGCTGGCCGCAGACTCAGAAAGCGGGTCTACGGGCTTAGGGACTACCCAGAGGATCATACCGTACCCGTTTCATTGAGGATACCTAGCTTTATGGTTAGGACCTGTTATATAGAAAATTAGTTACCTCAAAAAAGGAGTATGGTGTGAGCCTCTAGGTAATGCTCACTCATGGTTCCAATAGGGTGTATGAGGTTTACAGGGATAGCTATAATTAAGGAGTTAGAGGTTTTAAAACAGGGTTTATAGGGGCTGAGGGGTTTGTAGGGCCAAGTTCACAAATTGTAGGGCTCTAGGTCTCAATAACCTGTCGGAGTATACGGCTAGGGATGACCTACTTGGAGGGTCGCGCGACTTAATTAGAGCTGAGAGTGACCTAAAACATTTCCTCATTGGGGTTATGTTACTCTTAAGCCTTTCAAGCAGCTACTTACTTAGGCCCCCCGTCCCTCCAAGCAAGCCATACCATTTCTGTACATCGGCCCTTGTAAAAGCCTTATAGAACCCCTGTGCGAGCCTTGAACACACTGTTTGTTTATTTGGAAGGCGGGGGGGGGCGTGGGCGGGAAAGGCTGGGATTCGCGTTTCTGTGGTGTGCGGCTGTGGTGCCTTTGGTATGTGTTAGTATACTCAGACCCTGAGCATGGGTTTCATCGTGTTGGTTTTGGGTGTCGTATGTGGTGCATAGGGTTCAGACCTGTGTTAGGGTTTTAGGGTTAAGAGTTCAGGGTTGAGACTTATGTCAGACATGTTAGTTTCACTCATTGCCCGAAACTACGTTATCGACGAAGCTGGTCTGAAATTACATCGCCAAGGCGAGCATAAACTTCACCTAGAAGAGCAACTTCAGTGCCATGGAGCATCCCCCCCAGATAGAATTCCGTGGCGATGCTCAAATTAAATCATGTACAAACTAAATCATGTATCAAAGCTCTTCTGTTTTCGACGACAAGAGTGGGCCGAATCGGATTGGTGAGTGTTACTATGTACAGGAACGAACAAAGATATTAATTAGCAACATGCTTCGTTGACCATCCTGGTCCACATTTTGTTCGGAGTGGTCCGATTGTTGCGTAAAAACTATAAATTACGGACGGCTCTGTCTTGGAGCCACTTCGCTAACTTTGGTCCGCATTTCTGGCTCTGCTTTGTGAGCTTAGGCTGTGTTGCGTGAACCTCGTAGCCATCATGATACGCGTGTCGATGCTGTCAGGGGAGGAGTTGGCTGCAGTGAGCGTGGAAGATATCGATGGTATGAAGAAGGTGCGGAGTTTGAAGTGCCACTTACGGACTCGTCACGATGTTCCATTGTGCATACAACAGCTTGTCGACAAAGAGACCGGCTGTATCTTGGATGATGCGATGACGTTGAATGCCCCCTGTGACGCGCTGCTGGTTATGCTGAAAGCCGACAGTGTCGCACAGCAGAGGCTTGCAGACGAACTCATTGGTGCATCCTCGAGTGGCAAGGTCGAAGCTGTGCGATTTCTATATCGTGCCGGAGCCAATATGGACTTGAGAAGCAGGTTCGGAGACACGGCTCTCACCTGTGCATCTTTGTATGGCCACATCGACGTTGTGCGGTTGCTGATTGAGATCGGTGCTAGCGTGGATCTGCCAAATATCTGCAGCAGAAGCAAGAGATCCTTAAAGACACCTTTGATGTTTGCATCTGAGAATGGTCGTGCCGAGATAGTGCGCTGCCTTGTGGAAGCAGGAGCTTCCCTGAACAGATCCCACGGCAAAGCAGCTCTCGTAGATGCATGCAAGTTGGGCCACGTCGAGGTCGTGCGAGTTCTGGTTGAAGCAAAGGCTGACATTAACACTGTCGTTCTTGACACAACGCCGTTGATGTGTGCATCAGTTCGCGGCCACATCGAGGTAGTGCAGTGCCTCGTCGATGCCAGGGCTGATTTGGACTGGGTCAATGGGAAGGGCAGCACAGCTCTCACGCGTGCATCCACGTTGGGCCGCATTGAGGTTGCGCATTTGCTGATGGAAGCCAGTGCGAAGTTTGGGGGCGGGGTGCTCGGAAGGTTTGGCTGGTTCAGGTGCAGTCTTTGGCCCATGTTCCTGCCGAAGATCTCGCCGATCTTACTGCCCATCATTCTCTCGGTGAGTTCTCCTCTCGGGGGACTCTGCGCAAGCAGTCCGCACATAGCTTGCCCAGAACCTTTAGTCAGCAGAGGTCGAGGTGAGGTTATGTAGGGGCAGAAAGACCATTCCTTCATAGATATATGTATATAGTTATACGGTTATGAACCCAAACCCCTAAAACTAAACCCTAAACTCCAAACCCTCTACAAACTACTAAGGCTTATTAAGGCATAGTGATGCCCCTATATTCCCTAAATTACTCGTTGCTGCTAATGGAAGCCGCTGCTCCCTGCATCTGAAAACGAGATGCGCAACATGATCTTAACTTAATAGGTTTAATGCACTTTCATATAAATATACAATCGTACGCCTTGAAACAGGAATTCATGAATAGTTTGTATGTTTAAACAAGTCTCATTACCGACACCTACATTTCCAAATAGGAAGGCATTGTAGCAACAGGAGATAGTGGGCTTGTACGTGATCAGGCTGCTTGTTCGGACTCTGGTTATGTTTCTGCTTAACGCAAGGGTTCCAGTACCACTACCTAGGCGAGACCACCCAAAGTAGGTAAAACAATGGCGCAAAACAAAAGGCCATTGTTCTATACATACTTTCGTTGTCCAAGTAATTGACATATACTCAGATGTACCTGATCAACCGCACGATTAATCTGCACATCGGGGGAGGGTAATTGATTGTTGCCGTGATTGCGGTTTGATGGCGTGCATTTGCACTGTACACAGAGTACACAGGCTGAGGGCACTGGTTTTGACAGCTTTTGAGCGGGCCTTTGTAAATTGAGTTTACTTGATTTTTGGCCCTTACAAGCACGACTACTAGAGCCAGCAAAAGAACCCTTAACACATACTATAGAAGCTTAAATAATTACCAATAATATTATCCCTTAGGGTTCCTTATAATAACTATGCTATAAAGGAGCCCACAACCCTATTCTAATTATTAAGGCCCCTATACTAAATCCTTACAATGCCACTTGCAGCAACTCTTATATAACGCCCTTTTAAGGAGCCCTTACAAGGAACCCTATTCTAATCATTAAGGCCCATTTAGGGTTTAGGGCTTTAGGGGTTTAGGGTTTAGAGGTTTAGGGATAGACCCCCTGATAAACACTCCATCAGGGCTTCTAGAGATTTAAACCCTATACCGGCAACCATTCACCCCTTTAGCCTTCTTCAATGCAGTAACTAGACTATATAAACCGATAAACCGCGAAGCCGTAAACCCTAAACCATCCCAAACCCCTAAGCCCTAAACCGGTATCAGCCCTAAACCCTTAGTCCACCCCTCTCTCACCCGAGAACTAAGCCCTGACCTTCTAGACCCCATAAACCTCATAAACGCACAACCCCTAAACCCTAAACCTAATCCCCTAAACCCGAAACCTTATTTTCAACCCGATAAACCACCAAACCCTACAATTCATTACTCCCAAGAGCCTTGAAGCCCCGGGAACCTGATGACTCTTATGACAGCCCCAGAATCCTGAGGCTTACTATCCAGAAAACAATCCTAAACCCCTTAAAAGTCTTAAAGCCTTAAAACCCCCAGACCTTCCAAAATCCCTTAAGGAATATCCCTTAAATTATAGTAGGATCCTTAGTATGATTTAAGGTATATTCCTTAATTAAGGGATTTTGGAAGGTCTGGGCCCTAAAGCCCTAAGCCCCTAAAGCCCTGAACCCGAAAGCCCTAAAGACCCTAAAGCCCCATAAGGTCCTGAAGCTGAAATTCACCAGGTCGGGTCCTGCAGTCCGGGACGAGGCTGAGGTCGGCCCTCTGAGCGTTGTTTTGTTGTTTGCACCAGTTTGTTTTTTGTGTTTTGGTGTCTGTTTGTGTGTGTGTGTGTGTGTGTGTTTCTTTTGCTTAAGGATTTTGTAGTGGTTGTTACTTTGTTGCAGCTTGTGCATCCTAGTTTTTCTTTCCGTGTGTCTTGCTGTAGGTGTCTATGGTGCTGTAGAGGGTTATTCATTAGAAGCTGCCCCCACCCTGTAATAGTGGTATAATAGGAATATAATAGGGCCCTAAATAATCCTAATCCTATGTAATCCTTATAGTCACTATTACAGGGTGGGGGCCGTACCTAAGTTATTCATGTTATATAGTTTCAGAGTGATGTTGCAGGAGCTTCGACACTCTGGACTGCAGTAGCTTCTAGGATTCTAGGATCTGTTAGGTACTGTCCCAAAGGGTCCAAGTATCATCCTGGTATATACTTATAGGGTATTTTGGGGGTCTAAGTATGTCCCATGATGATACTTGGACCCTTTGGGTGTTGTGTTGTTACCCAAAACTATGCAGTGCACTTTGGGGTACTTTTGGGGTCTAGGTGGGCTTAGCATTGCTACGATGACGGGCTGGGTTCAGATTTACAAGGCTTCACAAGAAAGGAGCTTTCTTGTATTGTGTAGGGTGCAGATGTTGAGGCGCCTTATCAATTGAAACTTCGGCTTGTAGCTTCTGACAGTTGCACATACAGCACTGTAGCTCATCACATCCCAGAACTACCCATGAGCCTTCCGTTGTGCGGGGAGGGAATGGCGCCTTTCGGGGCTTGCGCCGAAACCCTTTGTTAGTGGATCCTCGTTAGATTAGGTGGGTGTTCCCTATATACCTCAACTCACTAGTAGGATTTCAAAACAAAACGTAGGTTTTGGTAGGTTTGGGTAGATTTTCGGGGTTCGCTTAGTAGCTTACATTTCGCCCAAAAGGTCGGGGTTCAGTGTTGCGGGTTCAGGCGTCAGTTTCGGTTCCGGCATAGGCCCCGAACTACCCTGGTAACGCCCACATGGGAGTTTCCGAAAATTACGAGTACCTCGTTATGGGGTCCTTATGACTGTTTTAGGGTACTACATTGGGGTGCCCCATTTTCGGAAACTCCCACATACCCACAAGCACAGTCCGTAGGAAGGCCTCGAAAAAGGTAGGGCTTTACGTAGACCCTGAGTTTTTGGTTTTAAACCCTTAAAACCCCTACGTACAAACCCCACTATAGACCCTAAAAGCCCCATAAACACCATATAGGCCCTACAGGCCCTTTGAACCCTAGAGTTTTTGGTTGACTAGTTCGGTTTCCGAGTAGAGGTCATGAAAATCACTCGAGACGGTAGTGCAGATCGCGTACATTCCCAGCCCGTAAGCGCCTTTGCCTAATTCCGAAAAACTGAGCCCTATATAAGACCTTTAGGCGCCATAAACCCTGCAAGCCCTATTAAACCATACAAACCCTATAGACCCTAATTAAATACAAGCCCCACAAAATGGCTATGGGCCCTACAAGCCCCTCTGAAACCTGTCAACTCTGAATACTGAAGAATCCTGTGCCCGATCTTTTTCGGATGGCAGGGCCTCAGGTTTGCCGGGCGCAGGGTCCGGGCTTGGGGTTTAGGGCTAAGTGTATTGGACCTCTATGTATGATTTGCAGGTCTCGGTTGTTTCGAAAGACGCATAGGGGATACGAGAATACAGAAACCAGTTTCAACAAATTCAATTTTTTTCAGAAATTTCCTTCAAAAGGAAAAATTATTGAAAAAATTGAAATTTTTGAAAAAATAAAGACCCTGGCCAGGCCCGGCCGTCGCCCACCAGGAATCTTTAAAATTTTTGAAAAAATTGAAATTTTTGAAATTTTTGAAAAAATAAAGACAAATTTCTCAATAATTTCAATTTTTTCAAAAATTTCCTTCAAAAGGAAAAATTTTGAAAAAATTGAAATTTTTGAAAAAATAAAGACCCTGGCCAGGCCCGGCCGTCGCCCACCAGGAATCTTTAAAATTTTTGAAAAAATTGAAATTTTTGAAATTTTTGAAAAAATAAAGACAAATTTCTCAATAATTTCAATTTTTTCAAAAATTTCCTTCAAAAGGAAAAATTATTGAAAAAATTGAAATTTTTGAAAAAATAAAGACCCTGGCCAGGCCCGGCCGTCGCCCACCAGGAATCTTTAAAATTTTTGAAAAAATTGAAATTTTTGAAATTTTTGAAAAAATAAAGACAAATTTCTCAATAATTTCAATTTTTTCAAAAATTTCCTTCAAAAGGAAAAATTTTTGAAAAAATTGAAATTTTGAAAAAATAAAGACCCTGGCCAGGCCCGGCCGTCGCCCACCAGGAATCTTTAAAATTTTTGAAAAAATTGAAATTTTTGAAATTTTTGAAAAAATAAAGACAAATTTCTCAATAATTTCAATTTTTTCAAAAATTTCCTTCAAAAGGAAAAATTTTTGAAAAAATTGAAATTGAAAAAATAAAGACCCTGGCCAGGCCCGGCCGTCGCCCACCAGAGAAATTTGTCTTTATTTTTTCAAAAATTTCAAAAATTTCAATTTTTTCAAAAATTTTAAAGATTCCTGGTGGGCGACGGCCGGGCCTGGCCAGGGTCTTTATTTTTTCAAAAATTTCAATTTTTTCAAAAATTTTTCCTTTTGAAGGAAATTTTTGAAAAAATTGAAATTATTGAGAAATTTGTCTTTATTTTTTCATTTCAAAATTTCAATTTTTTCAAAAATTTTAAAGATTCCTGGTGGGCGACGGCCGGGCCTGGCCAGGGTCTTTATTTTTTCAAAAATTTTTCCTTTTGAAGGAAATTTTTGAAAAAGTTGAAATTATTGAGGAATTTGTCTTTGTTTTTTCAAAAATTTCAAAAATTTCAATTTTTTCAAAAATTTTAAAGATTCCTGGTGGGCGACGGCCGGGCCTGGCCAGGGTCTTTATTTTTTCAAAAATTTAAAGATTCCTGGTGGGCGACGGCCGGGCCTGGCCAGGGTCTTTATTTTTTCAAAAATTTCAATTTTTTCAAAAATTTTTCCTTTTGAAGGAAATTTTTGAAAAAATTGAAATTATTGAGAAATTTGTCTTTATTTTTTCAAAAATTTCGAAAATTTCAATTTTTTCAAAAATTTTAAAGATTCCTGGTGGGCGACGGCCGGGCCTGGCCAGGGTCTTTATTTTTTCAAAAATTTCAATTTTTTCAATAATTTTTCCTTTTGGAGGAAATTTCTGAAAAAAATTGAAATTATTGAGAAATTTGTCTTTATTTTTTTCAAAAATTTCAAAAATTTCAATTTTTGCAATAATTTTAAAGATTCCTGGTGGGCGACGGCCGGGCCTGGCCAGGGTCTTTATTTTTTCGAAAATTCTTTTCTCAAAAATTTTTCCTTTTGAAGGAAATTTTTGCAAAATTCAAATTATTGAGAAATTTGTCTTTATTTTTTCAAAAAAAATTCCTGCTGGGCGACGGCCGGGCCTGGCAAGGGTCTTTTTTTTTTTTCAATGAATCCCGGCGGGTGACGGCCTCCTTGACCGAGTGGAAAAGGATCAGCCCTTTTCTTCTTTATGAAATTGGAAGGAGCTTTCCTTTGGTTCTCGATGGTTAGGTAGAGAGTAGAGAACTCATACATTGTCGAGGGTGGGGGGGGCGTCTCTGTCCTCCCTGGCTAGGAGTGAGGTGTCTTCACTCTTCTCAAGTTGAGAAGCGATTTACCAAGAGTAAATGGAGCTCTCTAGAAAGAAGCTCTCTTCTCTTACAACGAAAATGTCAGGGGGAGCTCTCTTCTTTTTCTTTAGAGCATGAGGTGGACGACTTCTGGTTCTTTTCAAGAGGGCCAAACCTCTTTGTTTGAAGGGCTCCATCCTTTCTTTGAGCGTATGCTCTCTTCGTCTTTTGAAGGGGTAGAGGGGATAGTCAGCATCTCCTTTTGCCTAGAAAGAAGGAGGTCTCTTCTTGCCGACTAAGGGGTAAACGGAGCTCTCTTCTTTCTCGATATCTTGGAGGGGCTTCTTTGTTTTTTATTGAGATGGAGCTTGCTTCTGTCTCATTAGACTGGAGGAAGCTCTCAGTCTCTTCTTGTCGAGGACGAGGTAGAGAGGGCTTTTCTTTTTGGAAGCTGCTGGAGCTCTGTCCTCTCGTGCCAGTGTATCTCTTTCTCTACTGAGAGGCAAAGGAGCTCTCTGCTAGAAAGAAGCTGTCTTCTCTTACCAACAGTAACTTGGATTGAGTTCTCTGCTAGTTTCCGAGGATGAGGTCGAGGGCTTCTCTTTGCCTTTTGAAGGCCGCAGGGGAGGACCAGACTTCGAATGTCAAGGTTTGAAGTTTGGAAGAGCTCCGTCCCTTCTTTTTGATCGAACGCTCGCTTCAATGTATTGAAGAGGAGTGGAGAGGAGATGGTCAGGAGCTCTCGCCGCTGACTAAGAGAGAAAGGAGTCTTCTTGTTGTCGACAGAGAGGTAAACAGAGCGCGTGTTTTTCTGAGAAGTTAGAGGGGCTTGTCTTTTCAATTGTTGGGGTGGAGGACCTGCAACGGGATCTCTTCCTTTACCAAGAGGTTTTTGGAGCAGCCCTCTTCTTTCTTGTGAAATTGGAGCGAGCTTTCTTCCTGTTTTCGATGATTAGGTAGAGAACTCACACACTGTTGGGGGGGGTCGTCTCTGTCCTCTGTGGCTAGGAGTGAAGTCCAGTCTTGAGAAGCGGCTTACCAATAGATAATGGACATCTCTTCTAGAAAGAAGCCCTCTTCTCTTACCACGGAACTCTTGGGGAGGAGCTCTCTTCTTGTTGGCGGCATGAGGTGGGGGAGTTTTCAAGGTTGAAAGCAGGAAAAGAGGCTGGGTGGGAGCTCCACCATCTCTTAGGTTCACTTCCATATTTTGAAAAGGTAGAAGGGATAGTCAGGATCTCGTTTTTTACCTGTAGAGAAGCTTGGTCTCTTCTTGCCGACTGAGGGGTAAACGTTCTCTCCTTTTTCTCGATAACTTGTAGGTACATGGTTTTCATTTTGTAGATGGAGCTCTCTTCTGTCTCATCAGGTTGGAGGAAGCTCTCAGTCTCTTCTTCTTTTGCTTTTGTCTTTGGAAGTTGGGGGAGCTCTGGTAAGCTCCAGTCCAACTTCTGAAGAGGAAGAAGGGATAGTCAGGAGCTCCGACTGAGGGATAAGTGGAGCGATCTCCTCTTTCGCGAAGTTGGAAGGGCTTATGTAATTTTTCTCGAGAAGCTAGAGGGGCCTGTCTTCTGGGTCGTTGGGGGTAGGGGACCTGCCACGGGATCTCCTCCTTTACCGAGTGGTAAAGGAGCAGCCTTCTTCTTCTTTATGAAATTGGAGGGAGCTTTCTTTTGGTTTTGGATGATAAGGTATTGCTTCATTGTTGAGGGTAGGGGCGTCTCTGTCCTCTCTGGCTGGGGGTGAGGTCTCTTCACTCTTCTCAAAGTTGAGAAGCGACTTACCAAGAGTCAATGGAGCTCTCTAGAAAGAAGCTCGCTTCTCTTACAACGAAAATGTCGGGGGGAGCTCTCTTCTTTTCTTTTAGAGCATGAGGTGGACGAGGTCTGTTTCTTTTCAAGAGGGCCAGACCTCTTTGTTTGAAGGGCTCCACCCTTTCTTTGAGCGTATGCTCTCTTCGTCTTTTGAAAGGGTAGAGGGGATAGTCAGCATCTCCTTTTGCCTAGAAAGAAGGAGGTCTCTTCTTGCCGACTAAGGGGTAAACGGAGCTCTCTTCTTTCTCGATATCTTGGAGGGCCTTCTTTGTTTTTAATTGAGATGGAGCTTGCTTCTGTCTCATTAGATTGGAGGAAGCTCTCAGTCTCTTCTTGTCGAGGACGAGGTAGAGAGGGCTTTTCTTTTTGGAAGCTGCTGGAGCTCTGTCCTCTCTTGCCAGTGTATCTCTTCCTCTAACCGAGAGGCAAAGGAGCTCTCTTCTAGAAAGAAGCTGTCTTTCCTTACCAAGAGTAACTTGGATCGAGTTCTCTGCTTGTTTCCGAGGATGAGGTCGAGGGCTTCTCTTTGCCTTTTGAAAGCCGCAGGGGAGGACCAGACTTCGCTTGTCAAGGTTTGAAGTTTGGAAGAGCTCCGTCCCTTCTTTTTGATCGAACGCTCGCTTCAATGTATGGAAGAGGAATGGAGAGGAGATGGTCAGGAGCTCTCGCCGCTGACTAAGAGAGAAAGGAGTCTTCTTGTTGTCGACAGAGAGGTAAACAGAGCGCGTGTTTTTCTGAGAAGTTACAGGGGCTTGTCTTATCAATTGTTGGGGTGGAGGACCTGCCACGGGATCTCATCCTTTACCAGGAGGTTTTTGGAGCAGCCAACTTTCTTTCTTGTGAAATTGGAGCGAGCTTTCTTCCTGTTTTCGATGAACTCACACACTGTTGGGGGGGGGGTCGTCTCTGTCCTCTCTGGCTACGGCTAGGAGTGACGTCCCTCCAGTCTTCGCAAGACTGAGAAGCGGCCTCCCAACAGGTAATGGACTTCTCTTCGAGAAGGAAGCTCTCTTCTCTTACCACGAAAATCTTGGGGAGGAGCTCTTTTCTTGTTGGTGGCATGAGGTGGGGGAGTTTTCAACGTTGAGAGAAGGGCAGGATTTCTCTCTTTGAAGGTTGGGTAGGAGCTCCGCTATCTCTTCTGTTCATTTCCATATATTGAAAAGGTAGAAGGGATAGCCATGATCTCCTTTTCTTACCTGTAGAGAAGCGTTGTCTCTTCTTGCCGACTGAGGGGTAAACAAACGGAGCTCTCCTTTTCCTCGATATCTTGTAGGGACATGGTTGTCATTTTGTAAATGGAGCTCTCTTCTGTCTCATCAGATTGGAGGAAGCTCTCAGTCTCTTCTTGTCGAGGATGAGCACTCTTCTCTCTCGCGAAGTTGGATGGGGTTGTGTGCTAATTTGAGATGGGGCCCTCGTCTGTCTCGTTAAGTTGAAGGAAGCTCTAATCTTGTCGAGGATGAAGTACAGAACTTATGCATTGCTTTTGAATACCGGGGGAGCTCTGTCCATGTTTTCAGGGGCGAGCTCTCTTCAGTCTTCGTAGGATTAGGATGAAGACTTGCCAAAAGATGAAGAGCTCTTCTGGAAAGAAGCTGTCTTCTCTTACCGAGAGTAGCTTGGATTGAGTTTTCTGCTTGTTTCAGAGGATGAGGTAGAAGGCTGCTATTTGCCCTTTGAAGGCCGCAAGGGAGGACCAGGCTTCTCTTGTCAAGGTTTGAAGTTTGGAAGAGCTCCGTCCCTTCTTTTTGATCGAACGCTCTCTTCCATGTGTTGAAAAGGAGAGGAGACGAATGAACTCCGAATCGCGGACCGCGCCGCCGATATGAAAGCAGATGAAAAAGGTTGCGCGATCGTCAGAGATATATGACGAAGGTGTGACAGCTTCTGTTGTCATGTGCTACTCGACGAACCGCTCCAGAGGTCTAGGCACGGTCTGTAACCACATACCAAAATCTCTTCGTTGCCTTACGCCCTTGAGAACTGTATCATCGGAGGTCCGCTTACCATTCCCCACAGCATTCGCGGTCTGGATCTGTCACAGCGTGACAAAGGCAACATAGCATCTCACTGTGTTGCGACCGGTTGTTGGTTCAACCGCTAGTTAAACTCACGGCTGTTTGATGGACGGTGCGTGCAAAACAGCCTCCAGAGTGGGAAGCAACTAAAGTTGACCCAACAGAACCCACACATTATACCTAAAGGTCCGTGCCACTTAGGGCTAAAGGGGGTGACACTTCTTGGATGCTGCTCTACGAGGGCATTGGTTTATACTAAGTAAACTTTAAACTCTGAACTCTAGGCCGAAGTCAATTTTGCGAAATGGTTTCAGTACTAGCTTAAGCCTCAAATGGGTGGTTGTCAATATTAGGGTCCCTTTTTGGGTCCCTATTATAATACGGCACCTAATATGTAGGGTACCCAAAATGGGACCCTAATTTTGACAACCACCCAGATGTGAATGTTAACCCGAAGTCACTTGCGGACAGGTTTGAGGATGCCATGCAACCGCTAAGAACCACACCCCGGCGCCTCATACATCCATACCTTAGAAGCTGCCCCCACCCTGTAATAGTGGTGTAATAGGAATATAATAGGGCCCTAATAATCCTTGTAGTCACTATTACAGGGTGGGGGCAGCTTCTAATCCACACCCCCAAGGCTCCATGTACCCATATAGTAGGTACTTAGGCCTTAAAGGAACCCCCGCTTTAAGGCCTAAGTACCTACTATATGGGCACATGGAGCCTTAGGGTACATGCTCCAGACAGTCAAAGGGGAAAAGGAGGGACCCTTAATGGGGACCCCTAGCCTTTAGTGGGCTATATAATGGGTATATAATATCTATATTCAGGGTATATACCTAGGGGTCCTTATTGAGGGTCACTCCTTTTACCCTTGGAGTGACGCCCGAACCCAAAGCCCGAACCCCAAAGAAATCCTTAGATTGGAAATCTGGAGAGCTCGAAACCCCAGGCCCCGAACTCAACACCCCAAGCTTAGATAGGCCGGTGGTCTCTTTACTTAGGAGCTTAGGATCGTGTTGCCTTCGTTTCTGTCCCCTCCTAACATGAGCCTTCAATGCCGTCTTCATAGCGGCGTAACGCAGCAGATGCAGGTCGGGTATCTGTGGTATCTCGATCTGGCGTGCCGGTTTTGTCCAAAGGTTGCGCAGACGATTATAGGTGATGGTTCTGGGCCCAAGTTCAATGCCGAGGACATGGGCTGGCAAAAAGCCAGCAAAAACAAGCCCTGGCAGGATAACGCCAGGTGCGGGGACTGTGCTGGGCGCTGATGATGAGGACGCGATGGAAATGACTTTCCGGTGCTTGGGGGCGACTGCGATCCACACGTAAACAGCTTTCTCCGGCTGTGGGTTTTAAGAGGCTGTATATAGGGATCCTTATAAGGGCTTTTTAAGCAGCATCAGGAACAGATAAAAAGATTAAAGGCTCCATGTACCCATCTATTAGGTAATTAGGCCTTAAAGTAACCATATTATAGGGACCCCTGTAAGGCCTAAGTACCTACTATATGGGCACATGGAGCCTTAGGGAAGACCACCAGCTTCTTTGACCCCAAGCCCCAAAAAATATGCGCCTTCGTGGACTCAGGGTGCCAAGGAAAAAGCGAGCCAGGGCCTTGGTTCTACGATGCTTAGGGGTACTTAGAAATAAATTTTAGTTTTTGGTTATTCTAATCCCTAAGAAACAGCTAAAATTACAATTTTTGCTAGGGTTCTAAGCTCAGAATAGGATGTGGGCAGCCCTCTAAGTTAGGGTCCCTTTTATGTGCCCAAAGAGTGTAGGGTTTGGGGTTTATGGTAGTCCTTTGAATCAGGGTCCCTTCTAGGGTCCTCTTTTGGAAGGGTGCCATATTATTTTGGGGACCCAAGAACCGACCCTAATTGAGAGAACTACTTGTACCCATTTCGTTCCGGGTTTGGGGTGTTTCTCGTTGGTTGATGGGCTTTAGGGGTTTAGGGTTCTGGGTGTTCGCGTTTTAGGATTTGGCGGGTTTTAGTATGTGGGGGCTTAGCCTGCTAGCGAGGCGGGTTTAGTAAGGGGTTTAGGGTTGAGGGCATTTGAGGTCTAGCGTTAAGTTTAATTAATGGTTTCGGGCTTGCTTAAACTCTTCTGGGAAAAAACTCTACAAAGGGCGTTCTGAAAGGAGTTGTTTTAGGCGTGGTAGGGTTCCTGGCTTAGGGTTTTAAGCTTCGGGCGTTCGGAGCTTAGGGCTGTATGTTTTTTTACTAAAATTGTCACTGACTGTAGAGTTTGGGTGTTTTTTAACACCAGGAATATGCATGTGTGCATGTTGTAGGGTTTGGTTTGGACTGAGGTTTCAATCAAGGGATGAGGGCTCACTTAGGATTTCTAGGGTATGGACGAATGGAGTGGACACGTGGAGGGACTACAGCTACCTGTTTGGGGATGATGGCATGGGGACTCTCGTTTGGTTCAGTTTTAGGGATGAGGGCTCTGGGTCGGAGAGAAGGGTGCATGACTTGATGTTTCGGTATACTGCTATGAGAATGATGTTATGAGAATGATGTTGCAGCTACATTTGCTTGACGTTATCATCGTGAAGTCCGGCTATGGGGCTTGGCAAAGATTCGATTGTTTCGGGCTTTGTTATCTGTGCAGTAGGGTAGGGGTGGCCGGATCCCGTAGGTGTGCAACAGCGTTGACTAAGTCTGGCGCTTTCCTCTTGCATAGACCAGGTCTGCTTTTCGTCGCGGCAGCCGTATCACACGTTAGTTAGGGCCTTGGCGGAAGAACTTTTTACACACACACATATATATATATATATGCATATATACATAAATACATACATACCCATACATACGCACATACATACATATGTATGTATATATACAGATAGACAGATAGATAGGTACTTGTGTGTGGATATGGGTGTTAGGTCTAACAGGGTTTTCTTTCTGCGAATGTGTCCTGAAGGAATCCTATCACTTCAAAAACTCGATGTTAAGGCAGCAGGGTGCCCACCAGGGAAGCGGAGCAATCTGATAGGTTGGAACTTGTCCATCAATGTGCCGGTGCTGTCCGTGAGCTGGATCCACCGTCACGAAGAGGTGCGATGTGGTGCTATCAATGCACCGTGCATCATACAGGAAATTCGGAGCATCCAGAATATCAGCTGTAGAATGTGCACTTGTCATTTGAAGCTGATGGGCCCAAGCCCTAGACCCTACACCTCGGGCTTAAGTAAGAGCATCGAACTGCAGGGGTCAGGAATCTATTTGTCACGCTCAGTTATTGTTAGGCAGTGTGGAAGCTTGATTACTTGGTAAGACCATTCGCTTGCGTTCCTTGTTTTGATATTTGTAATTTTTGCATCAAGCCCTATTGTTGTTACTAAGTCTTTTTTCGAGGCATCTGGCTTATGACTTGGGCTGTGTAAGAATCAGGTTTGTGTGCAAGGTTGTCTGTAGCTGCACGTTTCAGGAAACCGCTGAACTGCACCCGTAACTCCTAGATCCTGTACAAGAGTATCTCGAATTGCGGTTGTGCAAGCTTCGTGCGAAGAGGTTGTTCGAGCCCCACTACAGTGTCTTGAAGTAGGCGTAGGAGGTCGATTGCGGTGGTCACATGCATCATCGCAAAGACTCAGTATGTCCTTTCTGAAGCCCTCTACCCTGAGGCCTACGTAGACGAACCTAAACCCCAAACAGCCTGCAAGTTCCCAAACCAGTCTTACTGTCAATCCTACCCTAAACCTCATACTCAAGCCATACAGTCGACAATGTAGAACAGTCGCACAGAAAGTATGAGCTTGAAAGTGTTCACATTGTACTGTTCAGGTATTTTGGACCCTTTAATTTAGGTTGGTGCATGGACTCCAAAGATGAACTCATTTGCCCGTTTTCCACTCTCAGCCCCGAACCATGCCGTACGCTCCATCAGGAGTTTAGGGTTTGTAGGGTTTAGAGGGTCGTGTACCTCACATTTCAGGGTTGTTTTTTGTACTTTTGTATTTCTGTGATCGTGCTAAGCTGGAAGGTCTTGGCAGTGCGCGTGAAAGGGATCAAGCTGGAGGCGTCCCCACTTGGGGATGTTTCGGATGGGTTGAGGACTGTGTCTTGTTAGGTTGTTAGGTCACCAGGTTTTTGGAGTGATGCATAGCTTCTTACACGGGTTTGTTCAAGAAGGTTTGACTTTCGGCATTCAGTGATTCTTCTGTTCGCGTGGTGGGTCTACGGGGTCTCCGGGCCTGGCTCTAGATCGAAGCTTGGAGATTTGAAGCCTAAGTCCCAGTACGATATTACTACCGTTACTATATTCACAGTTATGACTATGTTCAAACAGGAACTCTCCTCGTCTGTCCCAGACTATATTCACAGTTATGATTACTTTTTAACAGGAGCTCTCAGCGTCTGTCACCGGATGCAGGAGATAAAGCCTAGCCCTCTACGGGTCCATGTTCCCAAGTAGTAGGTACTTTAGCCCTAGAGTTCCGACAGAGGGAGTACTCACCTTAAGGCCGAAGCCTCTACTAACTTAAAGGAAACCTATTCCTGAGTACATGGTCTTTTAGGGTAGGTACCTGTAGTTGAAGTCGGGTTCGGGAGTGTGGGCCAGCCAGGCCGAGGTTAGGAAGCGGGAAGGTTTAGGCGTTTAGACCTGGAGGTTTAGGGTTTTGAGGGGCTCAGGGGTTTTAGGTTAATTAAGGGTTTATGGTTGGGCTTTAAAGCTCACGGAGCCATACAGCTCGATCATTGCAGCCGCACTTAGAGCTGCGAAGGCAATGCTAAGGTCAGTCTTTGCCCCGGGGCCTTTCAGAGCGTTTTCGGTCAGAAAGCGGTTACATGGTTACGGTTTGGGGTTTAGGGTTTGGGGAGTGAGGGTGTCGGAGTTTGGGGATTCGTGTTCGTCGTTCACGGATAACTTGCGAATCACGCTTCAACGATCTCGCCACTTCCAACCCTACCTGTAGTCTCGATTGCAGAACCTTGTAGTTACCCTTTCACCCTTAACCCCTGTAGTAAACCCTAAACCCTAAACCGCTTGTACAGTAGAAGCCCAAAAGTTGGAAACCCAATAGCCTAAGTCCTTAAGAGTAATGTAAATGGAATCCCAGCACTATTTGGCCTTAATCGGGTTTCCAACTTTATGTGGCTTACTGTAAACCCCCTTGTAGTTCCCCTTTTGACACAAACCCTAAACCCTAAACCGCTTGTAGTTCCCCTTTTGAAATAAACCCTAAACCCTAAACCGCTTGTAGTTCCCCTTTTGGGTTTCCCAGATATTGATGGCTCGGATCGTACAGTCCGAGCCGGTGAGCCAGAGCAGGACCACAGCCTTCAAGCCGATATAATCTTAGCTCTCCAACACCCAACCTTTAAAGATTTTGGCTTTAAATGTTTCAGTAGTAACCTGAAAGTTTAACCTTTGATTTCCCTGGCTTATTGGGGAAGTAAGATAAGCTTGGTAGCTGAGTGGATACACTTCACACTTTTTGGGACAATATTACCCACTATAAAAATGAAAGTGTACACTTTCTGGGGCTTATGAACTCAGCAACCAAGTAAGCCATCATATAAGCTCAAAGGAATGAAAACCCAAAGCTTGCCGTCAAACTGAGACAGGGTCCTCATAGAACCGGTTCCATTGAGAAAGGCAAGTTGCGACAGCCTAAGCCCTGCAGTGCCTAAGCCTGTGGGTAGTGTGAGGAGTCTCCTTAGATCCTGTTGTTCGGCTGCTTGAACCCCCCCAAGATTACAATCTACTAAGCTATCCCAAGGCCCTTTTCTGCGTGTGAAGGCCCCCTTATCAAGCCCGGCAGATAAGTCCCTTCGATCTCCTGAAAAAAAAGCCCGGCATCCCCCAAAAAAAAACGGGACCCCGGCACGTTGGCACCCTGAAGCGAAAACCCAGGTTGGTCAGCATGCCACCGATCGAAGCTTCGACATTGGCATGCAGCACCTGCAGGCATCTGCGCACCCGAAATCCTCCTAAATGGCAGTTTCTGAACATTAGGGGTACCTTATTTTGGGGTCCTTATAATAAGGATCCTACCATTTAGGGTTTATTAGGGTCCCCTATTTCCGGAAACTCCCAAATCCTTTCAGGGTTTAGAGCTTTCCAGTTCGAGGTTTAGTCAAAGGGTGCCCAGGCTATCAAGTCAAGTTTGGAACCATTCGGCTGTAGAGCTGCAGAGTCTTCCAGGGCTTTACGGTTAAAGGTTTGGGGTTTGGAGAGTGGCCACGGTCGTTCGTGCAGGACGAACCTACAAGCATTCCCAGGGTGTCAATGTAAAAGGGTTGTCCGGGCTTATATCATGACCTGACACAGACCCCTAATCCCAATAATCTAAGAATTCAAGGTAAGCAATGTAGTATTGCTTGTATCAGAGCTACCCCAGCCACAACAAATAATCCTAAGAGCCTAGATGGGGACGCTTGCACAAACCCTAACCGAAAGAGGTTGCACAGTATGCGACCCTGCTTTGTACCATGCAGGTGTTTAGGAGTAAGTCAAAACCCCATATATGAACCCTAAACGCTAGAAACCCTAAGTTGGGTAAGTATAGCTTTCGGGCTTCGTGGCTTATGATATGGATGCGGCTCGGAGGTTCAGCGCAATAGTTTCTTTTCTTCAGATGAGCACGCGCCTGTCGTTTTTGCCTCGTCCTACTGTTGTTTTTGCTCGTGTTAGCATTTTTCCATGTTTACCCCCCATGAAGGCACAAAAGCCCATAGCCCATGCCTCTGTGTTGCTGCCCTTGTTGCTGCTTGTGGTTTGGGAGAAGGGTACCTTCGCTGTTAATCATTCTCGGGTTACCGAGCACAAACCCATTAACTTCAGGGCCTGGAGAACGTTTGTTCTGGTGCAGGGTTTTCGGGTTTAGGGTACTTTGGGCATGCTGTAACCGTTTGCAGCTTCCTCCCGCAACTCAAGGAGCAACATCTTCAACATAAACGCACGATGAATGAATGCCGATCGAGCAGTTTGCGCTAAGGAAACCCTCATCCCTAAACGCAAGCAACCCCAACCCCTCGCCTGAACAGACCTGCCCAGTTTGAGGCCGACCCATGACATGGAGGTTTTGGTCCAAACTAAGAGAAGGTCAGTTATTATGGTGCACCCGAAAACAGCACTGCATCCTAAGCCGCGTTTCACCCGAAAACCTATAGTAAATTTGCTCCAACCATGAACATCCTCCAAGCACCGCGTCCTACACTAGGCTCCCAACTGTAACCTTTTGCTCTCTGTGGTTTGACAAGTAATCGGAAAAGGGTACCCTCATGATTGCGAGTCACTCAATCATACCGCGAAGCCCGAAAAGTTGGATAAGCGGGTTTCCTGATGGGCATGAGGATAGGATTCTCCATGTTTCTCGCAGATACTTGCACTGTGTTAAGACATGGGATTCAGTACTTAGGATTTGGGTTTCTCTGGCTAGAGTGGCTAAAGAGACTGGGGTTTGGATCTCGGCATATAGGCCTTGACCAACCCCTGATGTTCCAACTTCCTGGCTTTCATCTTGAAGCCCTGCAATTGTCTAGGACCCAGAGTGCAGAGTAGGCCCTTATTCCTTTTTCGGGTTTAGGCTCCCTTATAACCGCCTTTAAACCAAAAAGAGTACCCTTTCTATTCCTAGCTTACTCCTGGGTCTAGTTGTTGCCCTAGCTGGTGTATATAATATATGGTTAGCCCCTAAACCCTAAACCCTAAACCCTAAACCTGGAGCCCTAGGGTTGTTCAGGTCGATCACTTCATGGACGGTGGCGAGCTGCCTGTTGTACTGCGCTGCTCTCGGAAGGTCAGTTTAGGAGTCCCGGGTTTAGAGGTTTAGCGTTTGCGGCTGTAGGGTTTAGGGGGTATGAGTTAGGGGTTTAGGGTTTAGGGCCTAGGGTTTATGGGTTTAGGGTTTGACGTCCATGCATGTACTAAGCTGTTTCAAACGGCAGCTGTTAAGAGACATCCCTGACACCAGCAATGTGTGCATGCATGCAGCACTGCTCTTGTACCGCAATAGAACAACATCTTGTTACCCATCAGTGCCGCTCCTTGAGATATTTTTTTTCTTGAATCTCCTTCGCAGGATATTTCGGCGATCCTTGTAAATCCCGAATCTAAGCCACAGCCCCAACGTCTGAGCCCTAAGCACTAAACCCTCAACGCGGAACTCTGCGATAGCCCTAGACCCATAGGCTCCATAGTAGCTCCTATGTGGAATTCAGAATCCTATACGTAAGGTAATCCCAAAACTAGGATGCCCAATACTACCCTTATTCCTTTTTTGTAGTCCCAGGTTCCTTATTAAGTTACCCAATACCAAAGAGGGAGCCCTTTTCAGTCCTAGGTTACTGGGCATCCTAGAAAAAGGAACTACTATGGAGCCTATGGGTAAACCCTAAACCCGGAACCCTGAGATTGCAGACCCCTGGCAAAACCCAGAAAGTATACACTTACGGTGCGTTTTTAACGGGTTCCTATGTGGGCGCTGTATGACCATAGTATATATACCTTTAGGGTCCAAATACCCAATTATCATATACTCTCAAAAACAATAAGCTACATATCTTCAAGCCCAAACTCGAGCACCTAACTATTGTGTCCTTTGGACCCCTGGGGTATATATGTCTATGTATGACGGAATGGACTACTGTTACTAGAGGAACCTGACGAAGCCTCGAGCCTTCTAAGGAATCGCCGCTTCCTCCACATAAACAGCCGTTGGCTGCGGGAGAAGGCGAACTCTGGACTTTCTCCGCAAGTCTGGCGAAGCCCAACGGGTCCAAACACCTACTTGTAGTTGTCGTATACCACCCAAAGACGAAGCTGCAGAACTACAACGATATGATATCATACCGGGGCATTCAGGGAGTATACGGACAGTAGGTAGTAATTAATTTGGACCCTTAGGGCCTTCGGATACTGCATTCGGTGTCATAGCAGGATGGAGTATAGAATGCTCGAGGATCCCTGGCTGAGGGCTTCCAGTCTTTTTTACAAATAGCCGGCCGAAATACTGAAAGCCGTCCCATATTCACTCACTACCCATAGGCTCCATAGTAGTTCCTTTTCTGGGATTACCTTATAGGATTCTGAATATGAACCCCAAAAAGAACTATAGAGCCTATGGGTAGGCCTTGCAAATCTGCTCGAAGCTTCGGAGCGCTCCGTAGCATTCTAGGAATTAGGGTCCTGGGTTCAGGGTGTATACAGGTTGTAAGTACCTGTAGGGAAACCCCGAACTCCCAGCTGGTAGCTAGTGAGCACCTTCAATAAATCCGCGACTCTTCAATTAGCGACCAAAGGGTGCAAGATCCTAAGTACATGTGGGGCAAACTATGGGAGTTGTTAACCAACCCTAACCCCTTTCTGCAAAGCCCACCCCAGCAAAAGTGTAGAACCCACAAAATCCCGAAACCCTACGTCTTTATGCAGCAACCCTCGTAGTAACGATACAAACATCCGCTTTAAGCGCTTTGTGAGGCCGTTCAGCTTTCGGCAAAGTGGGCCGTGAGCCCAGCCTAGGAGCAGTCATAAACATAAGCCAATGTGTAGACATATATAAACATATAGGGGCCAATTACCTATACTACACTGGGGCTTCATTATTCTAACCATAGTATACAGGGCCCCCAAAGCCTATTCTAATTGTTAAGGTCCCTATAGTACGAGCATGCATGCATACATCGGTATTAGGTACATACATGTGCATACGTACTTACTTGGGTACTTGTATATTCACAGTCATTCGTAATCACGCTTATGAACTTGAATACTTATTCACTTACTTACTGAACTTCTACTTTACTTATATACATACACACATACATACATCCTTACTTACGTACTTACTTACTTATTTATTGCTCGCTTGCTTGCCTACCTACTGGCTTGCTTACCTACATATACACTTTCGTACATGCATGCGCAAATGTGTACATGCGTACATGCATGAAATTGACTGACCTGCATATAGAGACGTACGCGCATATACATACACACATACATACATAAATACATACATCCATGCGTGCATGCATACATACATACACATACATATGCAACAGACGTAGATGTATGGACAGAGAGAGACAGAGAGCGAGAGAGAGAGAGAGAGAGAGAGAGAGAGAGAACAGCACTGAAGCTCAGATCAGCGACAGCCACATCATCAAGAAGCTGTCTGTGAGCCTGGTCCCGTGCTCCTGGCCCTTTCTTTTTCGGCGCTGAAAGCTTGAAAGTTTAGGGTTTTGGGTTGAGTCTTTTGTGGGGTTTAGCGTTAGGCTTTACAGGGTTTGGGGCTCAGGGACTGTATTTTGGTTTCAGGGAACTTCTGTCCACCGTTTCGAGACTTAGGTTGCAGCCTGGGAAGCCACAGATTCATGGATAGGGGTGCAGACCGCTGTTTTTAAATTCGGAAGGTCAAGTACATGTCTCGAATGTTGAACAGTGTCTCTTGGAATCTTGAGCCCTCATTCGCAGCAGGGTGGTCAGCAGCAACCGCGCAAGGAGGCCTCAAAATTCAATTGTTGTCTAGCGGGTGCAAGGTCTGCAAAGTATTGGGGAACGGTGAGTTGCAGGAGCTGTTAGTGGCCTATAGTTTTCATGCAGTAGGGTTTAGGATGTGCAGATCAATTGCCGTCGTGCGGGATGGTACTTTGGGATTTAGCTCTTTCCGAAAACATCAAAGTTTGGGGTTTAACCCTAAACCCTAAACCCCTAAACCCTTAAACCCTAAACTTTAAACCCTAAACCCCTAAACCCCTAAACCCTAAGCCCTAAACCCTGGTTGTGCGACTGAGGGCTGGGGGTCGCCGAAGCCACATCGATCGACTCGTGAGACCGCGAAGTCACAAGTCGGCCGCATATGGTTTGGATATGCTACCTAAGGGGTTCCTGGGGTTCCTTTTAAGGGGTCTATAAAGGGGTACTCTAAGGGGGTCTATAAGGGTTCTATATTGTAGGGGCCTAGATAATTACCAATATACTATATTGGGGGTTCCTTATCATAGTTATCGTATAATATACCCCAAAACCCTATTCTAATGATTTAGGGCCCTACATTACAATGCCTCTGGCCAATTCAACATATATCGCATCATTTCGTCTTCGCTACTGCAGTTGTGAAGCCGCGAAATCAGCTGCCCCGCCCCCGCCCCAGGACACCGAATCAACAACCCTGATGACTCTCAGACGCCGAACACCGAGATCATCTGACAAATTCTGAGATGTACCTGCCAGCCACTGAAGTCCCTGGAATCTACTTCGAAACATGCTCGACATCTGAAACAAGCCGCACTTGTAACATCTTCATCTTCGAAAGCCAGGTACTGGCTCAACCTTGAGTTGGGAGTGCTGATTCGGTGGGGTGCCTCACAACCTCTGGGTTATAGGGTTCCGTTCCTGTAGCCCGGTATCCTTATCAGCCCTTATCCTGAAACAGAAATAAGTTCAGCAAGTGTAGGTGAGCCTAACATTACATGGATAGCCCTTATCATGTTATCCGACACCCTCAAGCATCCCTACATCTAAACGCGTATGCCTCAACTCCAAACCCCGGATCCTTGCAATCACTGGAGTTGGACAGCGTTCTGTTTGGACAACGATTCGAGGGGATAGGCATCTGAGGCTATATTGATCAGTCAAGGTTTAGGGTTTACGGTTTACAGTTCAGGCTTGTATTCCGATTGGTTCATGATCCCCCCCATGCAAAGCCTACATTTCGCGGTTTCTGGCCCCCAGATACCCTAAGGCTCCATGTACCCTTATGGTAGATACTTAGGCCTTAAAGTACCTATATAGGGACTACTTTGGGGCTTAAGTATCTACTACAAAGGTACATGGAGCCTTTGGGATACCCTGCGCCCTGAATCCTGACGCGCTTTTCTACCAACCCCCAAACTGAAATCACCCGAAGCCCTTACTCTCGGGGCCTGATTAATTACCAGTTCTATTCTGGGGGCTCCTTATTATAGTTATAGTATAATGGGCCCCGAACCACTATTCTATTTATAAAGTGCCACTAACAGCCATTTGGCAAGCCTGAAGCCGTCATAAAGCCAGCAAGGGTCATTTCTCAGTTCATCCCCACGCCCTCGCCTATACCTCATACCCAAAACTTATATCATAACCCGAAACCAAAGCAACCACCTAAACCCATATCCTTCTCCATATCCTAACCTGAACTGGGAAATGTCCCCCTAATAGAAAATCCCAAAAGATTATGACCTTGTCGGCTGGAACGGCGACTACTGCGACGACATCTACGAGATGGTGTGCCTTGCTCGCTTTTGTTTTGAAGTGCCTGTGTGAGTGACCTTGCTGAGATATTCTTTTGCCGACACTGGTGATGTGAGCGATGGTGTGATAGTGTGACATCTGATGCGCCAGTGACTGACCGTTTGAGCGCTGTGCCACTGACGACGCTTTGTCGTGCCACTGACGGCGCCGTGTCGTGTCACTGAGGGTGCGGTGTCGCTCCACTGACTTAGCGATATCGTATAGCATACTGTAATACTGTATATAGTTTGAGCATCTTCATAGGCTTTGAGGCGACAGGTTATATGCCGCAGCGGCTGATCATCTGGCATCACCCAACCGCATCATCAGTGTAAGACTCGAAAAGGATTCTCCTAGGGCTACGAGCAAGATCCATGTTGGACATTTGGGCCCAAGCTTGAGCCTGTTTCGACGTGTGTCCCTGTTTCGACGTGTGTCTGCGATATCCAGGCCTGCGGACTCATGTATCGACTTCTTCTGACGACCATCTGTTTGAGCCTGGCAAGTCGGGCCGTCGCCATCCGGAGCCGAGAGGACGTGGAGAAGCGTCTGGGCATGCATGTACTATAGGGGCCTTAATAGTTAGAATAGGGTTTGGGGATTACGTGACAAGGAACCGCCACAATAATATTGTAAACCATTGAGGCCTCTACAGTACTGGAAGAGAGTCTTGTATTGTTTTCTTGTTGGGGTTCGTGTACGTTGTTGTATACCAGAGTGGCTGCCGCGACTATTGTATGATCACGACCCATGAGCAGCCGAGGCATGAGGATCTTGTTGCAGCAAAGGACCAGGGCTCTGGGCGCGCATAGGTGATGAGCTGATTCCTCAACCCTACACCCCTAAACCCTAAACCCTCAACCCGAAACTCTAAGAGAGAAGCTTTTGCAACTGGACCATGGCGGCTTCAGCACCACATCTTTAAAACTAGCAAAGCAGAAGTAGCTTAATGGTAATTTGGGACTTTCCGAAAATTAGGGTACCTTATTTGGCGGTCCTTTATAATAAGGATCCTACTATTTAGGGTACTCTGTTAGGCTCCCCTATTTTCGGAAATCCCCATTTAGAGGCCTCTGAGGGCTATAACTTGCGCTACTTGGGTTGGGACTCTCCGAGCTGGCACCTGATCTTAGAGGCTTGTAAGAGCGAATTTTGTGGCGAAAGCCCTGAGCCCTAAACCCCTGCAGCCCTAAAGCCCTGACCCTGAAGGCCTGATCCCGTCAACTTTAAGTTCTTGACGAGGTTTCGGGTTTAGGAGCCTTACATCTGGCTCTCTTAAAAGGGGACCTTATTGAGAAGGGTGCCCTTAATCCTCATACCTGCGAGAGGATGGTGGTGGAGACCTTTCCAAGGGCGAGCTGACAGAGGCAATCCAGGATGGGAGCGACATTCTGGAAGAAGCATCTGCCACCGGAAGTTACATATGCTGCCTCTGCCGGGTGCACCACCGGAAGTCGCAATACTTTTCATTTTCGTACAGCTCCGGGTGCAGTCGGGAGAGAGGGTGTAGTTTTGCATATACCGGCAAGTGCAGCCGTTGAGCTGTTGTTCTAGGACCCAGAGTAGGCCCTTATTCCCTTTTTAGGCTTTAGATTCCCTTATAAACCCCCTTCAGGCCAAAAAGGGCACCCTTTTTATTCATAGGTTACTCTTAGGTCTAGTGTTGCTGGCTACGAGCCCTTGGAAGCAAGACCAAGTTGCGCCACACTTGGAAAAGAGGCGCTCGGCTCGCAGTTCCAGAGATTCATACCCAAAGGCTCCATGTACCCATATAGGTACTTAGGCCTTAAAGCCTTAAAGTAACCATATAGGGACCTCTTTAAGGCCTAAGTACCTACTATATGGGCACATGGAGCCTTAGGGATAGCAAAACCTTCGGAGACAGTAGAACCCTTACGGAATCCTGGTCCGAACCCTCTTGAGTTCATAGAACTCTCAAAGGTCCGTTCTAGAACCCTATAAAGAAACCGGACCCTCGACCAAAGACCCCCCTAGCCCCCTAAACCCGAAAACCCTAACTCGAAAGCCCAAGCTAAGACACAGCACTGACGGACAGAGCGAAGCAGCAGTGTGATGTGCCAGCAGATTCGAGACCGGTTTTGCCAGTCTGTGCTGTCGCTGCTGATTGTATGTATGCTAACCCCCCTAAAACCGTAATTCGCAAGATGAAGGCATTCTTTGTGAAAATAGTGAACGCCTTAAAGAATAGAGGGAAATCCCATACAACATGTAGGAAACATCTTGAAAACAATAACTATAATTGATCATGAAGCACATAAAAAATCGACAATCCCCAACTCTCACGCTATGGACTTGTTAACACAACTCTCAAAACACAACAGGTCATCGTCTTCAACAAAGGCGTTGGCGACACCAGCGACGAAGCACTGGTGCGCCAAAAATAGAATACAGAATACAGAAAGCTGAACCCAATAAGAAATGACACAGACTATCTCAACAATAATGATGACTTCCTAACATAATATACTAACCATTATTTTTGTTAGTATATTAGTCCATGTAGAAGGATCTCCCAGTTCGGGCTTATAATCGTTTGGTGGTTTTCTATTAAGGGACATTTCCCAGTTCATGTTAGGATATGGATAAGGTTATGGGTTTAGGTGGTTGCTTTGGTTTCGGGTTATGATATAAGTTTTGGGTGTGAGGTACAGGCGAGGGCGTGGGGATGAACTGAGAAATGACCCTTGTTAGCCTATATATAGTCGGAGTACTTGCTGCTAGTGGCGTCCACAAGGGGTCTTCTGAAAAGTACGGTATAATGTACCCCAGAACACTTTTTGAAGAAGTAACCCCCCTCTACTCAAACCCCATATGAAGCCCGGATTGCAGAAACCATATGGACCTCTTGAAAGAACCCCTTAAAGGAAGCCTTAGTCTTAGGGGTATTTAGAAATAATTTTTAATTTTTTGTTATTATAAATCCTAAGAAACAGCTAAAATTTATAATTTTTGCTAGGGTTCTAAGTTCAGTATAGTAGTCGTGTGAGGGACCACCTTACACCCTAAACCCTAAACCATATAGACCTCAGGTTGCTAGACCTCGCCGAGAGCTCCTTGGGTGTGAACGAAGCCTCACCCGACGAAGGCTCTGTGGGCGTACTTTCGGGTTATACCAGGACCCCCCAAGGGCCCTGTCATAGAGCCCTCATGGCCCTTCATAGTATTTGGGGGATAATAGAGGGTAGTAGGGAGGTCTAGGTAGGGTTTAGGGCTTAGGTTCTTAGTAGGGGGGTCTAGGTTAGGGATTAGGGTTTAGGTTCTTCGTTGGGTTTTGGCTGTGTCAGGACTTTAGGATATTGAGCCGATCTTGTCTGGGGCCTCAGAGCTTGCTTCGTGAATTTGGCGAGCTACCTATAGTCTCCATTGTAGTTCCTTTTTTGGGTTACCTTTCAGGATCTCTAATATAGAATTGGTTAAACCAAAAAAAGGAACTACAATGGAGACTATAGGTAGGGTCTAGGGTCCAGTTTAGGATCGTGAGTTTACCTTTAGGGGGTTGAAGTTTGAGTTTGGAGGGGCTCCTGGTTCAGGGTCTAGGGTTGGAGACTCATACGTAGATGTGCGTAGATAGCTCGATCTCCCTTCTTGTGGTTCCGTGATTCATTAGGGGGTCGCATCTCGGGCATCCAAGGGTTTTTGGAACCCCGTAGATTTCAACCCAGCTAAAGCAGCAATTGAACCGCTAAGCCTAAACTCGATATAGTGTAGGGGCCAAGTGCCCGTGTAGAGTAACTTTGATCCCACATAGGGACGCCCTGTAATGCTGTAAAGCCTAAATTGGCTGAAATATGCACCATGCAGGTACATGAACGCTGTAAAGCCCTCTATTCAACTTCGTGGAAAGCAGTTGTTCAAAAAAAGTCGTAAGGGAGCCTTGAAAGGAACTACAAAACATCGGAGCACTTTCGCCACCTGTGAGGAGCGCGTGTTGCTTTGGCTGCACCCTCTCAACCCTCCTCGTTGGCCGATGCCAAGCACCTGGAGGTAGGACCTTGGTCCCGTCTTTGCCATAGTTGGGTAACACTTTACATTTGTATGTATACTTAAACCCAATAAGGAATATCAACTATTTTTTTAATCCTGTCCCAGCCGTGAACTAGCTTGGTGTGCAGTGGGAAGTGTCCCTCCTTTCACAGCTTTGCAAGGTGTTCAAAGGGCAACACTATTTTCGAGTTGCGGCTTTTCGCCTAAACCCGTATAACTCTATAACCCCTAAACCCTCAAACCTGCACCCTGAACAAATATGTAGGTTGCACCCATGTCTATGCCGTGATTCCGCCGTCGATTTACTCCAAGGGAACAGGAGGGACCCTCAATAAGCACCTCTAGATCATATACCCTTAATATAGCCATGATAATTATACCCATTATATAGCCCATTATAGGGTAGGGGTCCCCCTTAAGGGTCCCTCCTGTTCCCCTTTGATTTACCTTGAGACGAAGCCCGAGGATCCGCTTGGGTTTCCTAGGCCCAGCGGTATCTTCCCTCCCCGGATCCAATGACGGTTTTAGGCTTCAAAGTCTATAAAGGTTTGCTAAACCCTTAACGGAACCCATAGTAGGTACTTAAGGCCATTTGGGTAGAGTTTAGGGTTCAAAGTTTAGGGCTTATGAGGGTTTAGGGTTCAGGGTCGAGGGCCAGAATGCCGAATGCGCAGGTGTGGCGATTGGAGACCTTGGCGCGGAGCTGAGCGATTTGCTCCGAGTCCTAAAGCCTAAACCTCAAACCCTTAACCCTATAAATGAATCCTAAACCTCAAACCGTGACCTAAGTTATAAGCCGTGCATCGACTTTAGTTGAGTTATGGGTCGCAGGCCCTTATACATCCGGAAACACCCCGAGTTAGTCTCTTTCACAATTGGGCGCCGGGCCTCCATACCCAAAGGCTCCATGTACCCATATAGTAGGTAATTAGGCCTTAAAGTAACCATATAGGGACCCCTTTAAGGCCTAAGTACCTACTATATGGGCACATGGAGCCTTAGGGATAGTCAGTAGATATTCCCAGGCCTCAGGAAGTGTGTAGTATAGGACGTGTTGATGTATGCGTGCCTGAATGAACGGGTCAGCTGGTTTAGAGCTAAGTGAACTGAGTGCAGGCATGGATGGATGGCCGGATGCATGGATGGCTGGATGCATGGATGGCTGGATGGCTGGATGGATGGATGGATGGATGGACGGAGGGATGGATGGCTGGATGGCTGGTTGGCTGGATGGATGGATGGATGGATGGACGGAGGGATGGATGGATGGATGGATGGACGGATGGATGGATGGATGGACGGATGGATGGATCGATGCGTGCATGGATGGTATCATATGTGCATGGATACATCAACCGACAGATGTGTGTGTACATGTGTATGCTTGAACGTGCGAGATGTATGTGTACATGTGTATGCTTGAACGTGCGCAAGTCATTACAACTTGTGGGGTGTGTACATGTGCACGATTGTGTGCAGCTTTGCTAGTATGCTTCGCGCCTGTCCGTCATGTGCCTCATTGCGTGGACGGACATCTCCAGGTGCTATACCTCACCTCAGCATGTGCGTAGAGTGTACAGGGAACTCCAGAAAGTTGGAATATGGTTTCAGGGTAGGATACCCTATAATTTACCATAGAAGGGTTAGGATAATCATATTCCAACTTTCTGGCTTGTACTATAGTGTTTAGGGAGTTCAGGTGCGCAAACGTCTCCATCTCCAAATTAGCACTCGACATGTATCGCGTACTTTGGGCATGTCCTTGCTCAGGTGGTTCAGCCCCTTCGCCTTACGATCATGGTTCGCTCACCAGATACTGCTGCGGCGCGAGTGCGGCCCCCAACGATCAGCACTGGTAGTACCAAAACAAAACTCTGGACACCCTACCGCCAAAAGCAACAATGATGTGGTTGTTAAGCTTGTAGGTGACCAGCGATTAAGACCCTAGAGTGGCGGGTCCAAACACTAGCATTATGGAACTAGGTCCCAAAAGACCATCCATAATTTTGGTATATGTGGAATCTCTTGGGAACTTTCTGAAAGTGTAGGCGTCAGCTACAGTCTTAGTACGATAATGGCCCGGAGCAAAGACACTCCCTTGTGTCGCATACCCTAGGGCTTCGTGCACCTATCTATATATATATATATATATATATATAACTAGCATATACTTCGGCCTTGAGGGGGAGCCTGTATCAACATTTGTATGCCTAAGTGTTTTGCTAGATAGGAACCGGAGCCTTAGCCTCTTGCACTGCGTCCGAAGGCGGTGCCTATTGTGGCGTGGGGGGGGGGGGGGGGGCTAATATAGCTACTATATACCCTTAATATAGCTATGATATACCCATTATTTAGGGTCTAGGGTTTAGGGTGCATTGAGCACGACGGATCGCCAGTTGGGCTCTTCTCAGAGAAGCTCGATGATAGTCAACGCACCCTGCTGGGTGAAGGAAAAACGAGAACAATAATATTTGAAGCCGAGCTGACGACCGTTGTGCTTGCCTTCGTTTTGCGGCGTGACAAGCCGCGAGGTTGT